TTTACCCAGAAAGGTGAGTGAGCACCCGCCGCCCACAGCCAGGGAAACAGATGTTAAAGAGGCAGTATAGAGTACCATCACACAGGGAAAGGGAAAGCCTACATGCCAAAGTGGGTTAAGTAGCACACTTAAAACCATCCTGCCAGCTGGGAGCCAGTGGCTCACACCTGTCATCCTAGCTACTCAGGAGGCTGAGATTTGAGGATTTCAGTTCAAAGCCAGCTTGGCTTTGAGGCTCTTATCGCCAATTAACCAATAGAAAAAAGGAAGTGGCACTGTGGCTCAAGTGTAGAGTTTTCATCTTGAGCTGAAGAGCTTAGGAACAGCTCCCAGGCCTAGAGTTCAAGACCCACAACTGACAAACAAAAACAAACAAAATAAAACCCATCCTGCCTTGTCACAGGATTTTCTACAATTCTACTGGCACAGGAAGAGGACCTAATTCATGCCCGTAATCTCATCTACCAGGGGGAGATCAAGAAAAAAAATGCTTGATATAGGGCCTGGGTACCTTGAGTTCAAGATTTTTGGTGGTTAATTGGAGATAACAGTTTCATGGACTTTCTGGCCCTGGCAGGCTTCAAACTAGGATCCTCAAATCTCAGCCTCCAAAGTAACTAGGATTACAGGCATGAGCCACCACTGCCTAAGTTCCTGCAACATGTTAGGATAATCAAGCTCTAAGGTCAGACCTGAATAAAAATGTGAGACTCTATTTGAAAATAAAATCTAAGAAGGGCTGGGAAGGTGGCTCAGTGCTAGAGCACTTGCCTTGTATGCATGAGGCCCTGGGTTCGATTCCTCAGCACCACATAAGCAGAAAAAGAAAAAAGCCAGAAGTAGCGCTGTGGCTCAACTGGTTAGAGTGCTAGCCTTGAGCTGAAGAGCTGAGGGACAGTGCCCAGGCCCACAGTTCAGGCCCCACGACCGGACCCCCCAAAAAAATAATCTAAGAATTATGGCTCAAGTAGGACAGCACCTACACAGCAAACACAAGGTGCTGAGTTCAAACACATTTTTTTGTTGTTGTTGGTGGTCATGGGGCTTGAACTTAGGGCCTGAGCACTGCCCTTGAGCTCTCTTGCTCAAGATTAGTACTCTATCACTTTTTTTTTTTTTGGTCGGTCGTGGGGCTTGAACTCTGGGCTTGGACGCTGTCCCTCAGCTCTTCAGCTCAAGGAGAGTGCTCTACCGCTTGAGCCACAGCACCACGTCTGGTTTTCTAGTGGTTTATTGGAGATGAGTCTCACGGACTTTTCATGCCTGGGCTGGCTTTGAACCATCATCATCAGATCTCAGCCTCCTCACTTGCTAGGATTACAGGCGTGAGCCACCAGCACCCAGACAAACTCCAGTTTTGTACATACAAAAAGACCCTAGTGACACCCAGAGTTCCAAAGACTCCATTTGAAAAGGAAGAGGAAGGTTCACAGAAGTGGCTGTGGGAAACTGTAGATCACTGGGGATGATAACTGACCATAGCCATGTGACAGTGGCTCAGGCCTGTAATCCTAGCTACTCAGGAGGCTGAGATCTGAGGATCACGGTTCAAAACCAGCTTACACAGACAAATTTCAAGATTCTTAAATCTTCAACTAACCCCCAAGAAGCCAGAAGTAGAGGTATGGATCAAGTGTCATAGTACCAGCTTAGAACAACAAACACTATGTATGAGCAGGAGGCCTAAGAGTTCAAGTCCCAGTAGTGGCATCAAAAGAAAAGAGAGAAGATAGGGAAAGAGTAGGGAGGAGGGGAAAGAGAAGGGAGGAGGGGAAAGAAGTCTGGGGAGAGGGGAGAAGGGAGAGGGGAAAGAGGAGGGGGAGGAGAAAAGTAGAGAAAAGGGGAGAAAGGGGAGGGGAGGGCAGAGGGGAAAGGGGAAGAACCTGAGGGGAAAGACCTACCCATGGCACAACTGAAGTCACATGACAATCATGGCATCAGGTAGCTGTGCCAAGAGGTTAAGGCAAGAGAACTGCACATTTAAGGACAACTTGGGCTATTCCAAAAGTCTCTATCTCAACAAGCTTTTTAGCCAGGCACCAGTGGCTCACACCTATAATCCTAGCTAGTCAGGAGGCTGAGATCTGAGGATTGCTGTTCAAAGCCAACCTGGGTAGGAAAGTCCATGAGACTCTTATCTCCAACTAACCACCAGAAAACCACAATGGTGCTATGGCTAAAAGGCAGAGCGCTAGGCTTAAGTAAAAAAGCTCAGGGACAGCTCCCATGTTGAGTTCAAGCCCATGACCAAAAAAACAAAAATAAAAAGGGAAAAGAACAGTTTTTCAGGCCAAAGCAAATTGGAAACTATTTATACAGAAAAACTACTTTTTAAAAAAAGTTTAAAAGTATTTCAAGATACAAAAATCTCAGGTAAAAGAACAAAAAGTCTAAATGAAAAAGCAAAGGAAAGAAGACTCCAAAGAGAAATGAAGACAAGCCAATGGGATTTCCAAGGAAACCAGAGTGAGATTGTAAAAATGCCAAACGGAGCCAGAAAACAGGCAGCTTGTCCTGGTGACTTCTCATGATTCAAGGAGGCTCACAAAACAGAGGCCCTCGCTTCCTCACAGGACAGTGCGGGAGAGACCAGAAGCTAACAGGCAGGCCTATGACATGCTTGAAAAGACCTAATAGAAGAAGGCAATCACAGGTTTCTAGAAGGAAAGGTGTGATCTGACCTCCTGGAGGGAGGTCTGGGCTTTCGTCAGGTTAGTTTGGGTTCAAACCTCTAACTTTTCTCTTTAAGAACTATGTACTTTGTAGTCAGGCATGGTAGAGCACACCAAGAATCTCAGTACTTGGGAGAATGAGGTTGGATGACTGCAAGTTGGGCTACAGAGCCAAGACCTGTCTTATAAACAAACAAAACAAAGTGGAGGGACAGAGTGAACAAAAGCAGCAGTGGTACTCTCTAGACACAGTGCTGAAAATGAACTATACAACTTGTGAGTGGGGACGGAAGGGAAAAACTGGGTGAGAGCAAGGGAAGGGGTGAAACTGTCCAAAAAGAAATGCACTCTTTACCTGACTTATGTAACTATAACCCTCTGCACATCACCTTTATAATAGCAATAAAAAAAATTTAAAAACAAAAAAACCTAGGCATGAACAAGACAGTATGTTGAAAACGAACTTTACAACTTCGCGGGGGGCGGGGGGTAAGGGGGGTGAGGGGGGGAGAAGGGAGGGAGGAGCTGGGGAGGTAGGGAGGAAAGGGATAGTAGGGGAAAAATAAAGGTGTAACTATGCTCTACAGGAAATGGACTCATTATCTTGCTCGTGTAACTGTAACCCCTCTGTACAGTATCTTTACAATATATATATATATACATATATCTATCTATATATATATATAAAGAAAAAAAATCCTAGGCACTTGGGTAACTCATAACCAAATCTCAATCAATCTGAAAAAATGGAAACAGAAGACCTCCTTTGCAGGGTTATTTAAAGAGCAAATGCACACAGAACACTGGCACATGGAGCCCATGAGATTAATGGGCGCTCCTCTGAATAAAATCTAAACAAGGTTTGTCCACATTCTTAAAGATTGACGTGGAAGGCTGAAGAAGTGGGTTTTTAAAAAGGGAATCTAATGCCTATTTACACTCGGCCAAGTTCTTAGGGGAGAAGAAACCAACTGTACTTGAAGTAGCTACGCTGATTCCCAGCTCCGCACCACAGAGCCTGCGCTGACCTGCCGGGGACTTTGTGTTCTGTCATTTTCTCCCTCACATTCGGATCCCCACCCACGAGATTACAAACTGCTCAAGTAAACACTGCTGACAAACTACCCATTACATTCCAGATCTTGGGTTGTGGTCAATTTGTCCCCAAAGGCCTAGTAGTCAAAGGTGTCAAAATAAAGGTAGCCAACATTTGGTTTTGGAAACCAACCACAAGCCGAACCCTCCCCTCCCCACAGCCCTGATTTGCCTGCAGTTGGACCTGTGGAATGGTTGCTTGCAACTTCTAGACTCAGTGAGCCCAGCAAGCTGCAGAGGGGTAGCCGAAAATATTGAGTGAGGCAAAGTGCTTTCCTGAGAACAAGATGAAAACACAAAAATTCCAGGTCTTGGCAAACTCAGGGGAGCTTGATGGAATCCAGCCTGCAAAAGCATCCTATAACATTGCCACCAGCTTCCTGCTCGTAACTAGAACATGAAAAACAGGCAGTGCCTTGAAACTATTTTTAAAGTAATGTTTTAACACGTGTCTTTATTTTTTGTCGGTCGTGGGGTTTGAACTCTGGGCCTGGGTGCTGTCCCTGAGCTCTTCAGCTCAAGGCAAGCGCTCTACTGCTTGAGCCACAGGGCCACTTCCAGTTTTCAGTGGTTTATTGGAGATAAGAGTCTCACGGACTTTCCTGCCAGGGCTGGCTTTGAACCACAATCCTCAGATCTCAGCCTCCCGAGTAGCTAGGATTACAGGCGTAGGCCACCGGCGCCCGGCACAAGTGTCTTTTCATTCTGGTCTGACCCAGGGTGGCCTTAACCTCACAATCCTCCTGCCTTGGTCTCCCAGAGTGCTGGATTACAGGTGTGAATCACTATAACCAGCATGAAAATAGTTAAAACAAAATGCTATTTGCAACTCTGAATGCAGCTGCCTAAGGGTAGATAACATGACCAGAATGAAAATAAACAGGTAGACGCAGTAAGCATGACCAACACATTCACTGCCCAGAGAAACAGGTCTACTGAGTAAATGCTGCAACAAACCAGGGGATTCGATGAAGCACAACTATTTTGCAACCCGAAGCCTTTATCTGTTAGCAACAGGGCAGCGGGTCACCTATAGGCTGCTGGTCCCTCACCTCACCTGGCATTTCTCTCTACTTTGTCCAAGACATTGGAAGTGGTACTGAGGACACAGAGACATTGGGTAAACAAAAATGAAGACACAGGAAATTGCATTCAAGGAAACACAACAGAACCATTTTATCCGAGCGGTGAGCACCTCTATTAAAGCCCCAAACCAAACAACAAGCCACAAGACCCTGCTTGCTAACTTTTATTAAGGGGTCCCACATCCTTATGGGACTCCAGCCAAACCACACAGGTCCCCCTAAATACAGCAGGAGGCCTGGAAGGGGAGGGGAATGACTTAAGATCCTACCACACCTCCCTGGAAACAGAAACCCACCACAGATAGACAGACAGACAGGCTGGGGAGAACTCTCCTCTCAGTTCTCTCCCCTTTGCACCCACTCAAAAATAAAGTCAAACACTGGCTATGCAGCCTCTAGCCCCACCCACCCATAGCAGCGTTTGTGGGACTCCCCCTTGCAAAGGGGGGCCCCAAGGCAGCTTCCTATTACTCTTCCTTCACTTTGGTTTGCTCCTGGCAACTCCGTGCCCTATTCCTTCCCTCAGCCTCCAGCTCAGTCACCCTATCTTCCATCACCTGCTCGGACCTTCTCTCTCTCTCTCCCTCCTCTGGCCTCTCTGACCTAGGGCTTCTGGGAAGCATCTTTCCCTCTCCCAGCAAAGGCCTCGCCAGGGCCTCTCTGTCCAAGATGTAGGATTCACACAGCTGTCCCACTCTCCTTGAGATCAGGAGCTGAGCGCTGCCGTCTCATCCGTGGGGGAGTAGTGTATGGAGGGTAGCGGGGCCCTGGGGGCCTCTGGGCCGGGTAAGGTTGGGGCTGCTGGGGATAATAGTTGTGCTTCTTAGGTTGGAAGTGGTGGGGCTCGGGCTGTGTGGAACCCCCTCCCCGAGATCGGGCCCCTCCATCCAGGGAGTTCCTGCGAGGACGGTGGGACCTGCGGGGACTTGGAGGCCTTCGAGCAGGGGCAGCGGGAGGGGGAGTGACCTCTTCAGGGGGTTGGGGTGGAGCTGGGGCCTCTCCGCTCCCCATTCCTGGCCAAGACTCCCGGTGCTGAGGGTTGCTCTTGAAGGGGAAGCGGAGCTTACAGTCATGAGGGGGCACAAAGCGAGCTGGGGGCCTGCGCAGCCCCCCTCCCCGCCCCCCAGAGCCCTGCAGTCCCTGCAGCCGCAGCTGCTCCTGCTTGAGCCAGCGAAGACGGCCACGGCGGAAGGCAGGGTCCTCCTCCATCAGCCTCGATACCCGCTCCCAACTGGACACAGGGGGTGTGGGGGGCTGGGCAGAGGACGATCGGTCACTGGGCATTGCCTCTTCTACGGCCTCTGACCCTTCAGCTGGAGCCCAGGTGATCTCACCAGCTTCTTCACTGTCATCTTCATGATCCTGGGATGCAGAGAGGGTGAGAGATAAGGAGAAACACCCTAAGGAGAGCTGCAATCTTTTTTTTTTTTTTTGGGGGGGGGGGAGGGGGGGAGGTCTTGTTGTGGGGCCTGAACTCTGGGTCTGGGCGCTGTCCCTCAGCTCAAGGCTAGCGCTCTACCACTTGAGCCACAGCACCACTTCCGGCTTTTTTTTCTTTTTGCTTATGTGGTGCTGAGGAATCGAACCTAGGGCCTCAGGCACACAAGGCAAGCGCTCTACCACTGAGCCACCTTCCCAGCCCCGAGAGCTGCAATCTTGAGGACATAAGGACTCAAGAACATTTTTCAGAAGGACATGTAAGAGCAGGTGTCAAGCAGGCCAGAGAAGAGCTTGGAGAGCTAGAAGGGCAGTGGTTTAGGAGCTCAGGCCTGAGAGCCAGGGGATCTGAGCTCAGTTCTGGCTCTGCTACTCCCTAGCTGTGTGGTCAGATCTTGGGCTTGTCACATTTGCACAATGATGCCAGTGATACCATTACCTAGTACTGAGAGTTGTTCTGGGAACTTACTAAGTTCTATCATAGATGGGGAAGAACAGAGTGGGAAAGGAAGTCAACACAGGGATGGCTACAGTGAACGCACAAGAAAGAATTCACTGAATGCCAGGCATCAGTGGCTCACGCCTGTAATCCTAGCTACTCAGAAGGCTGAGACTCAAGTGGTAGAGCACTAGCCTTGAACTGAAGAGCTGAGGGACAGCGCCCAGGCCCAGAGTTCAGGCCCACAACCATAAGAGAGAGGAAGAGAGAGAGAGAGAGAGAGAGAGAGAGAGATTTATTCACTGAGAAATTCTTGTTTCAGTGAAAGCCTGGAGTATGTGAGGAGTAAGCTGTGTGGCTAAGGAAAGCCACTCAGGCTGAAGGACCATCAGGCACAAAGGCTGCTAGGCTGGAGCATGCCCAGAAAGTACAAAGGACAATAGGAAGCCAGAGGTTCTCTCTTAGAAGGTCAGCTTGAATAGAGCAGAATTTTACCACCTGTCATTTAAGTAACCTCAGTGGCTGGCAGAATATTTGGCATACATGGGGCTGGGAAGGTGGCTCAGTGGTAGAGCGCTTGCCTTGCATGCCTGGGCCCTGGGTTTGATTCCTCAGAACCACATAAGCAAAAAGGAAAAAAGCCAGAAGTGGCGCTGTGGCTCAAGTGGTAGAGCACTAGCCTTGAGCTGAAGAGCTGAGGGACAGCGCCCAGGCCCAGGCCCAGAGTTCAGGCCCCACGACCGGACCAAAAAAAAAAAAAAAAAGAATATTTGGCACACAGTAGGCACTTAAATGTTATTTGTTATTTGCAAGGATAGGTGGGAACACTACCACCCATGGGTTACTGTGAAGGTTAAGCGAGGCGATGACACACAAAAAGCATGTTGCACTGCGACCACCACAGAGGAATGGTCAACAGAGGGGAAGAGGACCATGAGGAGTCACACAGCTGGGACTTAACCACTATGTACTCTGCACTAGCAGTTCTCAACTTCTATACTTCAGAAACATCTGGGGAGCTCAGACAGAACTCCAAAGATGCAAGTTCAGTAGGCTGAGAGTGAAGCCCAGTATCCTCCGTGTGATTCACAAAGTCTACTAAGAAAACTAGGCTAAACTTCCATAAACTTTTTTTTAGAGGTGGGACTGAGATTTGAGGTGGGAGGTGCAAAGTCCTAAAGGAAGAGCTGAAGGAGGGGAGAGAAGAGGAGAGGAGAGGAAAGAAGAGGAGAGGAGAGGGAGAAGGTGGGCCCAGGGTTTCCTACCTGGGCCAAGGGGATGACTCTCTCCATGCGGAGCATGCGGTCCCGCAGGGCCTGCAGCTCACGGTCCTTGGTGCTGTTCTGCAGCTTCACCTCCTGCAGAATCCCTGTCAGCTTGTCAATGTGAGCCCGGAGGTCCTCGACCTCTGCACCCCGGGCTCCTTCCTCTCCTCCACCACTGCCACCTCCGCCTCCTTCCTCCTCTCCCACTGTGTCCCAAACATCCCGGGCCACGGCCTTCCAGGCATCTCCAGGCCCTTCGGGCTTGCCATAGGTGCGACACAGCTCCCGCATCTTGAGGGCAGCCAGGGCCTCGATTTCAGCACGACCATGGCGGAAATCAGCCAGGGCCACCTCATAGCATATCTCCTTGACAGCTTGCATCTTCAAGTCAGCCATGGTGGCCCAGCGGGGGTCTTTGCCTTGTAGCCGCCTACGCTGGGGGATCTGGTAAACCCTGCGGGGAGCCCTGCGCTTGCCACTGCTGGGCAGGCCACAGCGCTTGACAATGGTCTGGACAGTGGTAGGGGGCAGCTGCTCACGCAAGGAGGAGATCAGTCGCCAGCTCTCTTCACAGGATCGCTTGTCAGAGTCATCCCCACTGTCAGAGTCTGCATACTGACACCAGAGAGAGAGATGACAGGGAGAGGGCTAAGGATATCCCAGAGCCCCTCCCTGTCCCAAAGACAGGGGACATGCCATCAGCGAGCCTGGGCTCAAGTGCTGCCCTAGCTCCTAGGAACTATGCACCTCTTTGAGACTGTTTAGCCTCTACTAGTCTAGACAGTATAGATTACAGAGATTCTTTTGTGCAGTCATGTTTTACTTCACCGCAGGAACACATTCTGAGAAATATGTCTTTGGGTGATTTTGTGTGAGCATCATAGACTCTACTGATATAAACCAAGGCAGCTACACATTACTAGGTGACATAATCTTATGGATCCACACTCAAATGAACAGTCTACAGTAAACAGAATCATCACTCTGTAGGGAAATGACCATATCACTGCTGGGAATGAGGTTAAAGACTTTAAAGTCCACTTAAAGAATAATCTTAAGTAAACAGCAGTACTTGAATATGGAAAAGATCATTCACCAGAGGACTGGTGAATCTGGGGATCCCTGGTCAACTGAGGCATTTCCGTTTCTGTGCAGTGTAACTGTTTCCTCCCCGGTCTCATTTCTCCCCTAGCCTTTCCCTTGTAGACACCCCCCCCACCCACACCCACCCCTAGTCCCCATTCAGGCCCAGACAATGCCCCAAAAGCAGAGTTGGGCAGAGTTGATGTTGGACTTGCTGCTCACCTGCCCACCAGTCCCTCCCTGAGTTCTTCCCCTGCCACACCCCAGGTACCCTCACCAGCCGCTGCTGCTCTAATAGAAGGTCGGCCTCTTCCTTTTCTTTCCGGTACTGATTCTCCAGATCCTGTAGCCTGGGATTGGGCAGAGGGAAGGAAAAGCTGTGGGAGGCTCTGGAGCTAATGTAGTAAGGTATAAACCACAAGAAGAGACTGGGGACTTGGGGCCTAGAGGGGACACATGGGCCGGGGGAAGAGGGGTGGTGGAGAGTCTTGTACCTCTTCTCCATCTCCAGCTTGATGTCAATTCCTTGCTGCTCCAGCAGTTCCTTCTGAGCAAAGTTCCAGTCAACAGGCTCAGAGGGCGGTCCTGGGGGTGGGGGAACCCCTCGTTCCCGCTCCAGGCGCGCCTGCTCCGGATGATTGAAGCGGAAAACATGGTTCTTGCCCATTACGATCCTATTCCCTGGAGATGCAAAGAGGGGAAAATAGACTGGCTCCCCTAAAACAGCAAAGACACCCCCAAGCCTAAGACTTATATGACCTAGTCCTCGAGTCCCAGGACAGCCTAGGAACTCACCCCAAGCCCAGGATAGGAGTAGTTAGAGTAGATATCTCCTGGTTGCCCCCAGGAAGCTCTGATCCCTGTTATTTTTTTTTTTTTTTTGGGTCTGGTCGTGGGGCCTGAACTCTGGGCCTGGGCACTGTCCCTCAGCTCTTCAGCTCAAGGCTAGCGCTCTACCACTTGAGCCACAGCGCCACTTCCGGCTTTTTTCTTTTTGCTTATGTGGTGCTGAGGAATCAAACCCAGGGCCTCGAGCATGCAAGGCAAGCGCTCTACCACTGAGCCAACTTCCCAGCCCTGATCCCTGTTATTAAAGGGAAGTGGGGGCTGACATCCTCTTCCTATATCCCTAGGGGAAGAAACCAGCAAAACCTAGCTCCTTGATGTCCACTTCACAGCTCTTTTATGTTTCCTTACTGATGTGCCCTGTCCTGATACTCCTGATACTTCCTCTGTACATATGTCCTAGACATATGTACATCCTAGGACATCCTTTCTTCATTTCTTTGTTGTGGCACAAGAGATCTAGCTTGTATATGCTAGACAAGCACTCTCCCTCTGAGTTACCCCCAGCTTCTGCTGTTGTGCTTCTACCTGACTTTAGCACCAGCGGCTCCGTCACAAGCTTCCCATTGACATACGTCTCTGCTCCTTCACAAGGCTCCAAGGTGACCACCACTGAGTGGAGGGAGAAAGGAAGGAGAGAGGTTAGACCCTGGGGAAGGCAGGCGGTGGTCAGACTCCCACCTTGTCTTATCACCCCAAACCACACATGCATCACCCACACCACCCCCCCAGTACCTGTGAGGGTGCCATGTCCCCTCTGAAGGCAGGCAGCACAGGAAAGGAAGAGCAGAAGGAGGGTTAGAGCCCTAACTGCAACTACAACTGCAGTGACTCCCTGCTCACCCTCCACCACCTTCCCCAGCAAAACAAAACAAAGCAAAACAAAAAACAAGTATTCTCAGAAGACTTCATTCCCAAGTTCAACTGGGCAGAGGTCCTGTTACTTCTGCCTTGAAATATTACTTCTATCTTTCCTACTGACATTATCCCCAGCCAGGCTTAGATGCATCCAGCAGGCTCCCAGCCTACTTCTCTGTCAGATGCTTCTTGCAAACTACCACCTGTCTGATCTTCTCAAGCCGCAGTCAACATACAAGACACACTGAACTTAATCCAAATGTTTGTGAACATACCCTACAGTGCCAATCACTGAGTCTGCTGCTTGCTGGGGACATGAACAAGTATGAAGCAGCTTCCTGCCTTGAGGAATGGTGGCTACTGAGGGGCCTCATATCCAGAAGACCCAGCCTGTGCAAGACTCATCCAGGGATGCTGAGCAAGTCACCTAACGTCTAGATCTTCTATAAAACGGTATAATGCAATCTTTATTTATAGAGTGCTGAGTAGCACAAATAAACAAGTCATAAAATAATAAGCAAACATGATTTGTTGTTATGTACACAATAATATGGAAACTGGAATGAGTTTTAATAGCAGCCAGAGATGGGGACTGCTGATATGAAGGTACAATAAAGACAGCAGAGAGCTCAGCTTAGGAGAAGAAGAATGGACAGGTTTATGTGAAAGTGGCAACCTTCCAGTCAATGCTCAAAGGAGGACTCAGCTTTCAATGGGCAGAAATGTTGGCAAGGATGAGGACTAGGAAAGAGACAGCTAAGTGCGTCACTGTATGTAGGGGAACAACACAGGTTAGGATAGACACCAGTTTACCCCACCTTCACTTCCTTATTTCCTACCTGCCCCCAAATGCCTTACTTTTTTTTTTGGGTCCGGTCGTGGGGCCTGAACTCTGGGCCTGGGTGCTGTCCCTCAGCTCTTCAGCTCAAGGCTAGCACTCTACTTGAGACACAGCGCCACTTCCGGCTTTTTTCTTATGTGGTGCTGAGGAATTGAACCCAGGGCCTCGAGCATGCAAGGCAAGTGCTCTACCACTGAGCCACCTTCCCAGCCCCCCCCCCCCTCCCCGCAAATGCCTTACTGGTTTTGCAAAAATATTACATCCCTACTATATGCTAGGCCCTATCTGATGAGACCCTGGAAGTGAACTAACACAGAGATAAAAACCCCAAATCCCTGCTAGCACAGAGCTTACCTCTGGTTGGTAAGACAGATGATAAAGTGTGTGTGTGTGTGTGTGTGTGTGTGTGTGTATGCATGAATGCACGCGTGTGCACACCCACGCACCAGGCCTGAGGCTTGAACTCAGGGGCCTGGGTGGTGTCATTGAGCTTTTTTGCTCAAGGTAAGCACTTTACCACTTGAGCCACCCCTCTACTTCAGGCTTTTTGGGGTGGTTAACTGGAGATAAGAGTCTCACACACCTTCCTCCCAGGCTGGCTTTGAGCCAAGATCCTCAGATCTCAACCTCCTGAGTAGTTAGGATGACAGGCGTGGGCCACTGGGGCCTGGCAAACAAGGTAATTTTAAGTCATTTAATTCTAGAGTGTGTGTGTACTGATCCTGGAGGTTGAACTCAGGGCCTCAGCACTGTCCCTGAGCTTTTGTGCTCAAGGCTAATGCTCTACCACTCGAGCCACAGCTCCACTTACAGCTCATGGATTTTCCCACCCAAGCTGACTTGGAACCATGATTCTCAGATCTTAACCTTCTGAGCAGCGAGGATTATGGGCATGAGCTACAAGCACCTGGCTAATTCTAATAATTTTTCAAAGCAGATAATCTAAAGTCCCCTCTAACAGGATAGGTGTTATGGACAGAAAATACGATCAAGTCAGATGATTTCTCCAGCCTAGTCAGGGCAGTCCTCGTCCTGTCAACCCAGCAGCCTAAGGCAGAGCCCTGTAACCCTCCTGTCCTGTACTGAAATCCAGTTCTGTTCTCTGTGTAATCTTGAGCAAATTACCTTACCAAAAGCCTCTGTTCTATCACCTGTGAGTTTTGTGAGAAAATACATACTAAATATCAATTTATTTAACAGTCTTGCACATGTCTGCCCTTTCTTCAAATACACTGAGCTCTTGGATAGTGGGCTCAATCCTCAGGCCTTGTATGGCTTTGTAATCTCTTCCAGCACATGACTTGAGGTAACCACAGAAGAGGAACTCAGCAATAACTCACTGCACTGAACTGGTTCAACAGCTTTCAGCCCAATGCCGGAAGCACTTGCTGTCACTGGGGACTTAAATCACACCAGAATACCAAAGCTAATCTGCTGACCCTGAACCAGACAGGAACCCAATTGGCAAATCTTAAACCTGCGAGCCACATGACAGTGTCATTTTTGTTTTGGGTTTTTTTTTTGGTGATACTAGGGTTTAAATTCAGGGCTCTGAGGTTGCCTGGTAGGTGCTCTACCACTTGAGCCACGCTTCCATCACATTTTGCTTGTTTTTGTTTTAAAATAAGGTCTTGTTTTACCCATGCCAGCCTGAATCACGATCCTATTTATGCCTCCTATGTAGCTAAAATGGAATGTAAATACCACTTTCCCAGCTACTAATTGAGATGGGATCTCATGCACATTTATCCTGAACTGGCCTCAGCTTGATCCTCTTGCTCTTTAGCCTCCTGAGTAACTAGAAGGATTACAGGTGGCAGTCATTGTACCTAGCTTATTCTTTTCTTTGAAGACAGTGATTCCACACTCTTCTCAAACTAACCCTAAACTCTTGGGCTCAAGCAGTTCACCTACCTCGGCCTCCATAGTAGCTGAGACTATAGGCATGTACCACCATGCCATTTTTTCTTTTTTTTGTTGTTGGTCATGGGGCTTGAACTCTGGGCCTGCGCACTGTCCCTGTGTTCTTCACTCAAGGCCAGCACTCTACCAATTGAGCCACAGTGCCGCTTCCAGTTTTCTGGTGGTTAACTGGAGATAAGAGTTTCACGGACTTTTCTGGCTTTGAACCACGATCCTGAGATCTCAGCCTCTTGAGCAGTTAGGATTACAGGCATGAGCTACCAGCGCCTGGCTTTTTTTTTTTCTGTCAGTTCTGAGGCATGAAGTCAGGGACTGGGTGCTGTCCTTGAGCTCTTTTGCTCAAAGTTAGCCCTCTACCACTTTGAGCGACAGTACCACTTCTGGATTTTTTTAGTGGTTAATTGGAGATGAGTCTCACAGACTTTCCTGCTCAGGCTGGCTTTGAACTGCAATCCTCAGATCTCAGTCTCCTGAGTAGCTAGGACTACAGACATATGACACTGGTACCCAGCTTATTTCTTACTTTTAAGAATATGGTAGAGGGGCTGGGGAGGTGGCTCAGTGGTAGACTGCTTGCCTTGCATGCATGAAGCCCTGGGTTCGATTCCTTAGCACCACATAAGCAGAAAAAGCTGGAAGTGTCACTCTGACTTGAGTGGTAGAGTGCTAGCCTTGAGCTGAAGAGCTGAGGGACAGTGCTCAGGCCCAGAGTTCAGGACCCAGGACCGGCAAAAAAAGAAAAAGAAAAGAAAAGAATATGGTAGGGGGCTGGGAAGGTGGCTCAGTGGTAGAGTGCTTGCCTTGCATGCATGAGGCCCTGGGTTCGATTCCTCAGTACCACATACACAGGAAAAACTGGAAGTGGCGCTGTGGCTCTAGTGGTAGAGTGCTAGCCTTGAGCAAAAGACGCTCAGGGACAGAGCCTAGGCCCTGAGTTCAAGCCCCAGGACTGGCCAAAAAAAAAAGAAGAACTGTCAAGAATATGGTAGGGCTGGGAATGTGGCTCAGTAGTAAAGTGCTTGTCCAGCATGTATGAGGCTCTGAATTCAATCACCACCAACTCTAAACTAAAACCCAAAACAGAACCATCCTGAACTTCACAAGCACTGCTTTGTTCCTTGGTCAGAAAGGCTACCACCTTCACTCTTAGGGTCTGTGATTCCTAACACTCTCTGCCCACATTTAAGGCTAAAATAAAGGCTCTTCAAGCTTTGGAACCACAGAGACATGTGGGCTTTTTAACACTCAGAAAACTTTTGTCACAAAGGAATCAATGCAGGTTCAGATATCCCACTGAAACAAATCCAGGCTTTCACACACAACAACTAGGATACTATTTAAATTATATACAAGCTCAGCACCAGTGGCTCACACGTGTAATCCTAGCTACTCAAGAGGCTGAGATCTGAGGATCATGGTTCAAAGCCAGCCCAGGCAGGAAACTCCATGAGACTTTTATTTCCAATAAACTATTTTTAAAAAAAGCTGGAGGGCTAGGAATGTAGCCTATTAGTAAAGTGTTTGTCTAGCATTCATGAAGCCTTGGATTCAATTCCTCAGTACCACATACATAGAAAAAGCTGGAAGTAGTGCTGTGGCTCAAGTGGTAGAGCATTAGCCTTGAGCAAAAGAAGCTCGGGGACAGCACCCAGGCCCAGAGTTCAAGCCCCAGGAGCAGCAAAAAATAAATTAAATAAATAAGTGTATATATATATACATACATATATATGTATATATATTTAGGCATTTCCTCCTCATCAAAATCCCACCCTCTGACATGCCATAGTGGTCTATCAGCCATGCAGAGAGCCAGACCCTTGAGCTTGGAGTCCCAAGAATGAAGATGCATCCCCATACGTGGCTAAACTCCCCAATGTCCAGCCCACATGCCACCCATCTTTCCTATCCCCTTCCACACCATTACCTTCTCCATCTGGCTGAGGAAGGCTTCGGAACACACAGTGTTGTTCCTGGATGAACTGTCCGGTCAGCTTGATGTCCACATCTAACTGGCCAACTCTGGAGAAGCAACAGCCAATACTTTCTAAGCATGTTCTAGGTTTTTTGCCAGGCCTCTCCTAAGCACCAACTCATCCTAGTCAATAAGCATAATTATTCCCATCTTACAAATAAGGAAACTGAGGCTCAGGGAGAGGAAGTAACTGGCTAAGATCATGCACATGAGCAGTAGTGAAGCTGCCTATCCCTAAAATTATACAATAAAGATGAGAAGTGAGCCTGTACTAGATGGCCCCATCAGTCATGACCTTGTATACCCTTAGGACTGATCACCCTGAGGACTCACTTTTCTACCTACAATGATCACCCAGGATAGCTGCAAAACCTGTTGTAGGAAGGAATGGAGTGCCTGGCCCCTTTAACTGCAGGATGTACTGAGCCCCACCACTTCATACACATTAGCTGGCAATGCTTTCTACCAGGAGGCTGCTGTGGACACTGCCCCTTGATAACGTAAGGCCAGGTTGTATGACCCTTCTCCCTCATCTACAGAGAATCCCAGCAAGGAACAAGATCATGGTGGTAGGGAAAAAATGTGGTGGTCCATCTCCCCCAACTCTCCTGCTCTAGTATATCAGGAGCAATCCCATAATGCTGGACTCATTTGGTTCCAAGAAGAGTATCCTGTCCTCACCAAACTGAGGGACACAGACAGCCAGAGGAAGCAGGTCATCAACTGTCAAAAAGCCAGGAGGCTCAGTGGTAGAGCACTAACGGTAGTGCACAGGGTCCCGAGTTTAATCCCCAGTATCAACAAAATTAAAATTAAAAAGTTGGGCACCAATGGCTCAAGCCTATAATCCTAGCTACTTATGAGGCTGAGATTTGAGGATCAAGATTCAAAACCAGGCCAGACAGAAAAGTCTATGAGAGGGGCTGGGAAGTTGGCTCAGTGGTAAAGCGCTTGCCTTGCATGCCTGAGGCCCTGGGTTCGATTCCTCAGCACCACATAAGCAAAAAGAAAAAAAAGCCGGAAGTGGCTCTGTGGCTCAAGTGGTAGAGCGCTAGCCTTGAGCTGAAGAGCTGAGGGACAGCGCCCAGGCCCAGAGTTCAGGCCCCACAACCGGACCCAAAAAAAAAAAGTCTATGAGACTCTTACTTCCCATTACTTCTTACAGCCAGAAGTGGAGCTATGGCTCCAGGTTAAAGTACTAGCCTTGAGCCAAAAAGTTCAGGGACAGAACCCAGGCCCTGAGTTCAAGCACCAGGATTACTGGCGCACATGTAATATCTGAGCTGCTATTCACTGGCAGAAAATTCCTCCTATTGTCTGGCCTCAGGCCCTCCTGCTGTTGGAAATTTACTCTCGCCCCTGAATTTCCTTATCCCTAGGAAAAGACTATCCACGGGAACTAAAATGTGAAATCAGAAAACAGAACAAAATTATTGATAAAGGGCAAAACCTCTTGGTAAAGAAAAACCCCAAAGGCTGACTACTGGTCAGCCTTTGCCCCTTCTCCATCCCTGCCAGAAAGCAAAAGAACATCTCTCCCTCACTTAAGTTTACCAAGCTGGCAGCTTTGCAGAAGGCTGTTGACAACCTTGAGGCTTACCACCAGCTGCACTGAGTTTAGTATTAGTCAGGAGCGAGCTTATAATAAAAATCATTTCTGTAATAGTGTCAATAGCATTGATAGTATTGGTCATGCTGACCAAGTCAAGATTCTGTTTTGCCTATGCTCCTGTGACTCAAGGCTATGTTTTTGCTATGATTTGCTTCTGTAACCTTGCTTGTTTGCCTCAGTAACAGGGCCTTAAGCCCACCAATGGAAGACCACCACTGAGTGGTCCCACTATGGGCTGCCTATTGCAAATTATTATGTGTGATATTTACCATACAGAACAAATGAATTTAAAGGTCATATAACTATAATCAATAAAAATGTGCCAAATCTGCTTTGCATGACTCACCTATGTAACTCTATGTAACCTAACCCTATAAAAACCCATCCTAGCCGGCGCCGGTGGCTCACGCCTGTAATCCTAGCTACTCAGGAGGCTGAGATCTGAGAATCTCGGTTCAAAGCCAGCCTGGGCAGGAAAGACCGTGAGACTCTTATCTCCAATAAACCACTAGAAAACCGGAAGTGGCGCTGTAGCTCAAGTGGTAGAGAGCTCGCCTTGAGCTGAAGAGCTGAGGGACAGCGCCCAGGCCCAGAGTTCAAGCCCCATGACCGACCAAACAAAACAAAACAAAACAAAACAAAACAAAACCCATCCTAGGGGGCTGGGAAGGTGGCTCAGTGGTAGAGCGCTTGCCTTGCATGCATGAGGTCCTGGGTTCGATTCCTCAGCACCACATAAGCAAAAAGAAAAAAAGCCAAAAGTGGCGCTGTGGCTCAGGTGGTAGAGCACTAGCCTTGAGCTGAAGAGCTGAGGGACAGTGCCCAGGCCCAGAGTTCAGGCCCCATGACTGGACCCAAAAGAAAAAAAAAAATCCTAGGGCTGGGAAGTTGGCTCAGTGGTAGAGTGCTTGACTCACATGCATGAGGCCCTGGGTTTGATTCCTCAGCACCACATAAGCAGAAAAAGCTGGAAGTGGCACTGTGGCTCAAGCGGTAGGGCGCTAGTCTTAAACTGAAGAGCGGAGGGACAGTGCCCAGGCCGAGTTCAGGCCCCACAACCCACCAAAAAAAAAGAAAAATCCTACCCTGAGCTCAAGGACATTCTCCTACTTTCCTGGTGATAGGAAGTGGTCCCCACACGGTGGTAATAAAGTTCCTAGCTCCTTTAACTGGGTGTCTTGAAGTCTCTTTTGGATCCAGCATATTATAGTGTACATGTGCATGTGCACACGTGCTTAGAGAGGAATCAAGGTTGAAGAAATAGCTGCCCAGAGATCTGGGGGTATTTCCGGTGACCACTAGAAAAGGGAGTTAACAATGTAGCCATCCCTCTGCAGCTACACCCCAAAAGGAAAGGACACTCCCAAGTTACTGGGCATATTTACCTTGTTACACCATCTTTGATGTGGTAGAGGAGACATTCAGACATCAAGGGGTCCTCATTCAGGTTCACCAGGTGAGGAGTCTGAGGGTGGAAAGAAGAATGGTCAGGGAAGGTTAGTAAGAGCTGGGTGGACACAAAGAAGGGAGCAAAGGCATCTGAGTAGCCAGTCCTTCAAGTTCTGGCACCACCTGCAGCTCACCCTGCTTCCACTGGCTGGGGATGGACAGGAGTCTTCCCACCCTCCCTCCTGCCTAAGAAGCAATTCCAACCAACAGTCTGTCCTCCTCTTCTTACACAACTGGGTCTACAAAGCACATCCTCTTCCCACCCCTCCCAGGTCAGCATCCCTTCCCAAGATCCATTTCTCTAAAAGTACCTCAACTCACCAGGCTCCAGGACTGGGAGGCAGCCTGGGAACCCACCTACACTGCCGTCTTCCTCCCCATTTTCCTCAGTCCTCCAAGTCCCATTATTTCTTCCCTCAAAATCTTGTAGCTTGCGTGGCACTAGTGGTTCATGCCTGTAATCCTAGCTACTCAGGAGTCTGAGATCTGAGGATCTCGGTTCAAAGCCAGCTGGTGCAGGAAAGTCTGTGAAGCTCTTATCTCCAATAAATCACCAGAAAACCGGAAGTGGAGCTGTGGCTCAAGTGGTAGCGTGCTAGCCTTGAGCTGAAGAGCTGAGGAACAGCGCTCAGGCCCAGAGTTCAAGCTCCATATGACAGACAAAAAAAAAAAATAAGTTGTAGCTTGCCTAGTACTGGTGGCTGGTGGCTCACACCTATAATCCTAGCTATTCAGGAGGCTGAGAACTGAGGATCGCAGTTCAAAAAGTCCATGAGGGGCTGGGAAGGTGGCTTAGTGGTAAAGTATTTGTCTCGCATGCATGAGGCCGTGCGTTTGACACCTCAGCACCACATAAGCAGAAAAAGCTGGAAGTGATGCAGTGGCTCAAGTGGTAGAGCACTGGACTTGAGCTGAAGAGCTGAGGCACAGCATCCAGGCCCAGAGTTCAGGTCCAAGACCAGCAAAAAATGAAAACAAACAAAAAAAGTCCATGAGATTCTTAAACTCCAATAAACCACCAGAAAACCAGAAGTGGCGCTTTGGTTCAAGTGGTAGAGTGCTTGCCTTGAGCTGAAGAGCTCAGGGACAGTGCCTAGGCCCAGAGTTCAAGCTCCATGACTGACAAAAAATAAATCTTGTAATTTTTTTTAACATGGTCCAATTCTATTTTGATGTTCCAATTTTTTAAAATCAAGATTCTTACATGAGTTTGAATAAAATCCTCTCAAATCACAGATTACCTTTGTAATTGCAATTTAAAAATAGGGCCATTACCTCGATTTAGAAATGAAACAATCCATTTCAAAAGCAGATTCCCCAACTCTTCCCTTGACACTTCCCCTCCCTGGGCCTGTAGGGCAGAAGTAAGGGCCCCTCAGCCATCTGGTGCTGTGCCTGCCCAAGGCCTCCCTAGCCAAATCCACTCCAAATTCCTGGCTGCTCATTATGTGGCTCTGTGCTGAAGACAAAGCCCGTTCTCCAACTTCAAGGTACTTTTTCCTGTCTTCTGTTTGTTCCAACAACTTCACCTTTTCCAGACAAGCAACTCTGGGTAGCATAAGCCTTTGTTCTTACCAGTCCTTCGTGCCCTGGCTGTCATGCTGAGGGAGAAGTCTTCTTCCACCCTGCCCAATGGCTGCTGTGCCATCCTTGCCTCCAGCCTGCTTAACCTACCCTCTCTGACCATATTCCACTCTATACCGTGCCATGCACCACTGTTTCTCTAGAGACCTTCTCTAGTTAGCACTCTATGTCCACTTGACTTGAACCCTGCTTCTTTACCCTGGCTTCTCCTCGACGTAAGGACCTTAGTGCCCCTGTCCAGGCCCCTTTTCTGGGGATCACTCCCAGCTGTGTACTCCTGCCCACAACTGCTGAGCCCCATTCCAGAACACAAAGCAGGACTTCTGCATCCCAGGCTGCTGTGCGACTGCTCCTACCATGTTCCCACCAGCACTGACCAGCCTCTTGCCGGCCTCACCTCCACTTGCCAAAAATCATCCAATTCACATCTGTCTGTCTCAATGCCACATCCTCCACACTTTCCTAAGCCTTCCAAGAAGGTTACCCTGCCTCGCACATAAAGATCTACATGGCTTTCTACCTCACCTCAGTGAGGTTCAGGATGGGACAGAGATGAGCTAAGTCCAGTCGAGGTTGACCTGTCAGTAAGGAAATCAGAGCCAACTGGGAGAAGCAAAAACGTGATACAGAAATACTGTTCATTATAAATGGGAAAAATGGATGTGATAGTTTCTGACCTCATATTCTTGCTTAGTTCATGCAATTCATTCACTGGTTCTCCGGGTGGTGAATGTCTCAGTATTCTGGGGTTAACTTATACACAAAGAGGAAGAAAATGCAGGAAAGGTGGGGTTTAGAAGACTGGGAAAGGCTGGTCTTGGAGGATATGCACAAGCCGAGTGTCAGTGGTGCATGTCTGTAATCCTAACAACTCAGGATTGTGGTTCAAAGCTAGCCCAGGCAGGAAAGCCCATGAGATTCTTTCTGTGTGTGCACACACACGCACACACACACATATGCGCCCATCAGTTCTGGGGTTTGAACTCAGGGTCTTAATGCTGCCCTGAGCTTTGCTCAAAACTAGCATTCCATCACTTGAACCACAGCTCCACTTCTGGCTTTTCTGATGTTTAATTGAAGTCTCTTACCTGGGCTTGCCTTGCTGCAATTCTCAGATCTCAGCAACCTAAGTAGCTAGATTACAGGTACAGTCACCAGCTCTTACAAGACTCTTATCTCTTCAATTAACTACCAAAAAGCCAGAAGTAGAGGGCTGGAGCTCAAGAAGTAGAGCACTAGCCTTGAGCAAAAAAGTTGAGGGAAAGTGCCTACGCCCTGAGTTCAAGCCCCCAGTACTGTCACCAAAAATAAATAAATAAAAATTAAAAAATAAAAAAAAGTATAGACAAGCAGAAAGTAGAAGTCTGATAGAAGCCCGAAACACAGAGAGACAAAAACACCAGAGCACCATGGAAGAACAGATAGGAGTGGGGATTCCAGTTTTGTTTTGTTTTTTCTTGGTTGGTCGTGGGCCTGAACTCTGGGTCTGGGCGCTGTCCCTCAGCTCTTCAGCTCAAGGCTAGCACCCTACCACTTGAGCCACAGCGCCACTTCTGGCTTTTTTCTGCTTACGTGATGCTGAGGAATTGAACCCAGGGTCGGCCTCATGCATGTGGGGCAAGCATTCTACCACTGAGCCACCTCCCCAGCCCAGGATTCCAGGTTTCTTTGGGGTTCACCCAGCACAACAGGAACCCAGAGCTGTGCCCACAGTCCACTTGGGCATACAGTCTGCTCTTCCTAGGCACTCCACAATTGCTACTGCCATACTTCCCTCAAGGGACATTCACAAACTCTCTACACTGCAGTGTCAGACCTGCTCTGGGTCTGGCCGACATTCATGGACTCTGAAACAGAATGTGATCTATCCCTAGGGAAAAGGACATGATTTGGGGCAGTGCTTTTCAATTTCTGTTCAGCCCCACAACTCTTTATTCAAATGAAACCTTATCTAGAAGATGAGGGCGTCAGACAGATAAGCAGGAAACCAATTAGGCCTGGGCTAGGGGTAGGAAACGGATAATCTGGTTGTGTTCCCCCTACTTTTTAGCCCAAGAAGAAAGCTCAGGACAAGATTTGCAAATCATTGTGCTGGGCACTAGTGGCTCAAGCCTGTAATCCTCAGGAAGCAAAGATCTGAGGATCACAGTTCAAAGTCAGGCAGGAAAGTCCATGTGACTCTTAAGTACCAAAAAGGCTGGAAGTGAAGCTGTAGCTCAAACGGCAGAGTGCTAACCTTCAGCAAAACAGCTCAGGGACAGTGCCCAGGCCCTGAGCTTAAGTCCCAGGACTGGCACATGTGCACGCACACACCCGCACACACATGCACATACAAGAATGTAGTCATTAAAGCTAATGTTGGGGTCCCAGCAAAATTCTGAACAAGGGTTCTGGCTCTTTCTCCAAAACAAACTGTAGTTTCACCTCAAGACTGAATTTTCCACCCAACCATTACTAAGATAGAACCACTTCTATATCAAACCTGTTTCTCCAGTGAATCTAACTCTCCTTTCTGAAATATTTGAACATTTGAGAGTATATTCATCCTTACCACCTTGAGAAGAATGCAAATGTGAACTACTACAAGATACCCTTTAACCAACCGCACTTGCAAAGATCAAAAACTCTGATTATGCCGGGCGCCAGTGGCTCATACCTGTAATCCTAGCCACTCAGGAGGCTGAGATGTGAGGATCAAGGTTCAAAGCCAGACAGGGCAGGAAAGACCATGAGACTCCTATCTCCAATAAACCACTAGAAAACTGGAAGTAGCGCTGTAGCTCAAGTGGTAGAGCGCTCGCCTTGAGCTGAAGAACTGAGGGACAGTGCCCAGGCCCAGAGTTCAAGCCCCATGACCGACACACACACACACACACACAAAATTCTGATTACCCTTGCCCATGTCATTGTAACCCCTCTGTACGGAATTTTCACAATAAAAAAAAAAACTGATAAATGTGGTATGTTAAAAAGGGTAAGGGAAAGAATGTAGCTCAGTGGTAGGGGCACTTGCCTAGTACGCTCAAGGCCACAGGCTGTATCCCCAGTATCACAATGTGGGGGGGGGGGGGGGGGGAAGAAAGAAAGAAAAAAAAAAAAACAGGTACCTATATGTTGCTCTTGGAAGATATATTCAGGTGGTTATAATCTTCACGGGACACTTTAGTAATTAGGCATGGTGGTACACACTTACAATCCCAGCTATTCAGGAGGCTGAAATCTAAGAACTGCAATTCAAAGCCAATCTGGGACTTTTATCTTTAATTAACCACCAAAAAGCCAGAAGTGGAGCTGTGGCTCAAGTGGTAGAGTGCTAGCCTGAAGCAAAAAAAAACTAAGGAACAGCACCTCAGACTGTGACTTCAAATCCCGGTATCAGCACCAAAAAAAAAAAAAGGTAGAGGTAGTAGTAATGTAACTCAGTGGTAGAGTACTTGCCTAGCATGCATGAGACTCTGGGTTCCATCTCAATTCCCCTCTTACCCCCCCCCACCACCATCTGACCCCAAATGTCTACTTCTAGAATTTGTTTTTACAGACAGCACCAATTTTCAAGTCTAACCACTGTAGCAGTGTTTGTAGTATCAAAAACACCTAAATGCCCACTAATAGGAAACTAGTAAGATATCCTACATCTACATGACAGAATATTCTGAGACAATGTCAAAAGTGAAGTAACCTTTGAGATAACAAGGTATGCAACCACTATTATTAAAAAGGGAGGCCACATGTGTGCACACATGGATAATTAGGTATGTAATACATGCCTGGGCATGCAGGCTGCCTCTAGGAGAACACATTAAGAAATGATAAAGTAGTTTCTCTAAGAGAAGGAAAAATTGAGGATGAAAAAGAGACTTTCTAAAATGTACTCACCTTTTAGTACTATTGGAAAGTTTTCCCTGTTATGTTGTTATTATCTGTACAATAAATACAAGAACCCTCCCTTTTCCAGGTACCCAGTGGCTCACACCTTTAACCTAGCTACTCAGGAGGTTGAAATCTGAGGATCTTAGTTTAAAGCCAGCCTGGGCAGGAAAGTCCATGAGACTCGTATCTTAAATAAACTACCAAAAAAGCCAGAAGTGGAGCTGTGGTTCAAGTGGTAGAGTGCAAGCCTTGCACATTAAAGCTCAGGGAGGGCTGGGAAGGTTGTTCAGTGGTAGAGTGCTTGCCTTGAGCTGAAGAGCTGAGGGACAGGGCCCAGGCCAGAGTTCAAGCCCAGGACTGGCAAAAAAAAAAAAAAAAAAAAAGCTCAGGGACAGTGCCCAGGCAGAGTTCAAGCCCCAGGACCAGCTAAAACAAAACAAAAACAAAAAAAATAAAAAAAAATTAAGCCAGGTGCCAGTAGCTTACGCCTGTAATCCTAGCTACTCAGGAGGCTGAGATCTGAGGATTGAGGTTCAAAGCCAGCCCAGACAGGAAAGCCCCCATGAGACTCTTATCTTCAATTAACTTCATGAAACCAGCAGTGGCACTGGTAGCTCAAAGTGGCAGAGCACCAGCCTTGAGCAAAAGAGCTCAAGGACAGGGCTCAGACCTAGTTCAAGCCCCATGACTAATTAAAAAAAAAAAAAAATCCTCTTTTTGGTCCCTGGGCTTTAGCATCCCTGTAGAGTGGTAAGTCCTTCGGGAAAGAAATACGCACCCCACTAATCATCCCACCTCTTTCTGTTTGCTTTTTTCTACCCTGCCATTTGAGTAGAAGGGTCCTAGTTACAGGCACCCAAAGGTAATTGGAAGCCATCTACATCCCTGATTCCTAAGATGTAGCTGTCGTCTAGAAGGGTCTATAGCTTTCTCAGGACTTCAAAGCCCTGATTACCCTGGTCCTGGACAAGAGCTCTCAGCCTGGCCTGCCACCCCAAATTATCTACTCACACTTCTCTCCCTTACTTTATGGTGCGGGCCAGACAAAGCAAAGCCCTTTCCTTTTTTAAGAAGTGTTTTCAGTTTCTTAATTAGTGAGGCCTGACCTCTCAAATTAAAGTAGGGCCTCTGTGAGAAAATCTACTACCTCTTCTTGGCTGACCCCAGTGACCTAACTTGTATGAGAGCAGTCTGTCTGCTTAAGCCCTGATCTTAGCTGCTTTGCATCATATACCAGATAGGCAAGGCTGCTTCTCTGGTGAGACTGGAAGTTCCTGCTCTGCCCTTCATTGACATGTACCAATCAGCTGGGCTAGCCTTGTTTTATTTTGTGTGTAGTACTGGGGATTGAACCTGGCCTTATAGTTGATAAGCAAGTACTCCAATGAGCTGTATTACATTCTCAGTTTTGGTTGTTGGAGACAATGTCTTGCTATAGCCCAGGATGATCTCCAACTCTCAATCCTGCTTCTGCCTCCTGAGGACTAGAATTATAGGAGTGTCATCACACCAGGCAGCTATGCTCATTTTCTACAACTAGCATCCATTCTGACTGGTCAGTGTCTGTCACATGCCAGCTAGTTATGATACTTTAAACATCATTCCAATCCCCATCTGAGCCTGACCATTCCTGCCTTTTCTGTTCTTCTCAGCAAAGCTTTACTGAGCACCTACTACCTAGCAGGCACATGTCAAACATCGGTGTCCCCTACTCACCCCAACATGTACTCTGGGGATTCGGAAGTTTGTCCCTACTCCTTATTACCCCATCTTTCAGGCTCCACTTCCCAAATCCCCTTTCCCAGGAAGCTATGCACTGTCTCCAGGCCCCCCTGCATCCATCTATAATCCAGCCTTCCACACTTAAAATCGCTGAGTCATGCTCACTCCTCCATCCCCTTTCTACCTGTCTTCTAAATTATCCTTTCAAAATATGTATTTGTGAGCTAATTTTTTGCATAGTGAGTATATGCACAGGATACAAAATCCAAAGGGCAGAAAAACATATGCCAGTCTAAGTTCCTATGACAACCAAACTCGTTTCTCTGTTCCCCCTCCTCTCTCTGAGATAACCACTATTGAGTAGGTTCTCATGAATCCCAATCAATGAATTCTGACCAATTCTGTGCAGGAACACATACACATAAAGACTTAGAGCTAAGCAGGGAGTCTATCATCCTCTGGGCTCCAAAGGCCTTCCTCACAGGCGTTTAATAAGCACTGGACCCTCTATATCACTGTCTGATAAAGAAAGCAAGGATAGTGAAGAACATGGACTTGTTAGTGGTACAGGGCGCAGAAGGAGCAAGGGCCAGATCAGAGATGTAAGAGGAAAAGATTAGGGACAGAACTCTCACCCTGCCACCTCTAACCCTCTTCTCTAGGTATCCAAAGTGTTCCCCAGATCTTGTTCCACAATCCTTTACATACCTTCTTTGGAGAGAAGACACCCACAGTTCCTCCATCCTCCCGGACGGCCACCCCCATCTCAGCCAGCAATGCTTCCCTATGAGCAAGAAAAGACAAATGTCAGTCTTCTCCTTACTCACGTTCTTCCCTGCAAAGTCTCAATAGGTCATCCCTGGGTCCCTCGCACCTTTCCATTCTTAGGGCTTCCGTCTTGCGCAGTTTCTCCTCCCAGGTCTCATTCAGCTCAGCTATAATCTTCTCTGTCTCCTGGAAGCACAGGGACAGATGGAGATCAGGAAAACCTGGGACCAACATCTACCACAGAGGCTGCAATACTCCTAGGATGCCATCTATCTCTTTAGCCCTGGCTTTGAAAAAGTAAACTCTCAGTAGTCTCCAGCCCCTTACCCCTTGCCAGCTCCAGGTTCCTACCTGCAGTCTCTCCATGGCCTCCTCAGGCCCAATCTGGGGCTCAGCATTGGGAGAAAATGAGGGCTCTATCTCCCCATTATGGGCAGGGGGAGATGACGGTAAAGCTTGGGTAGAGGGGTTGGAAACGGTTGGCAGAACACCACCAGGACTCCCCTCTTCTACTTTCAGACCTGAAAGGGAGAAAGGTAAAAGAAGGAGGCTAAGGAAAAATGGAACTGATCAAACTAGAGAAGGCCAGGAATGTTACAGAAGGCAACCTCCCACATGGTAGGGGGTCCTCTACAGCCCTGACAAACGGGCACCCTGTCTCTGCTTATATTCCAGGGATGGAGGCCTTACTTTGTACTTGAAAGCCAGTTCTTCCCATTGTTAGTGCCTGACTGTGCTGAGTTGAAATGTGCTGTACAACATGCATGCTCATTGTTTCTAGCTCTGCCCTCTGGCATGAAAGCCTATATATAGTGCCTTTTTTTCTGCCCAGCCCCTGAAACACTACAAGATGAACATCCCACCTAATTTATCCTCCTCCTCTTCCCAAGAACAATATTCCCTCCAAGGTGTCCCAGCACCCTGATTCCCCTCAGTAGGATGGATCACTAGAGTGGACAGGGTTCATACTTGGTTAACATGGGTTAAACAACATCTCACACAGATACTGTTTTATTTTGTTTTTATCAGTGCTGACTACTGCATTTTAGAAGCCATTCCATTGTTGACTGTTAAATTCATGATCAATTAAAATTCTGGTGCTGCTAGGCATGGTGGTGCACACCTGCAATCCTAGCACTCAAGTGCTAAAGTAGGAGGAGCCTGAGTTTGAGGCCAGCCTAGGCCACATAGTAAAACCCTATCTTTTTTTGTTGTTGTTTTTGTTGGCCACAGAGCTTGACCTCTGGGCTTGAGCCCTGTCCCGGAGCTCTTCAGCTCAAGGTGAGTGCTCTATCACCTGAGCCACAGTGCCACTTCCAGTTTCCTAGAGGTTAACTGGAGATAAGAGTCTCACAGACTTTCTTGCCGGGGGCTGGCTTTGAACTGCAATTCTCAGATCTCAGCCTCCTGAGTAGCTAGGATTACAGGCATGAGCCACCGGTACCTGACCAAAACCCTATCTTTAAATAAAAAGGGGAAACAGGAAGATCTCAGTTCAAATCAAGCCCAAGCAAAAACTTAGAATCAAGACCCCATCTTAAAAACAAACTGAAAGGGGCTGGGAAGGTGGCTCAGTGGTAGAGCGCTTGCCTTGCATGCCTGAGGCCCTGGGTTCAATCCCTCAGCACCACATAAGAAAAAAAGCCGGAAGTGGTGCTGTGGCTCAAGTGGTAGAGCGCTAGCCTTGAGCTGAAGAGCTGAGGACAGCGCCTAGGCCCAGAGTTCAGGCCCCACGACACAAAAAAACAAACAAACAAACTGAAAGCCGATCACCAGGGGTTCACACCTATAATACTAGCTACTCAGGAGGCTGATCTGAGAATTGCAGTTCAAAGCCAGCCAGAAGTGGAGCTGTGGCTCAAGTGGTAGAGTGGTAGCCTTGAGCAAATAACGCTCAGGAACAGTGCTTGGGCCCTGAGTTTAAGCCTCAGGACTGGCGCGCGCACACGCACACGCACACGCACACGCACACACACACACACACACACCATAAAAGCAAGCAGACTTGAGTATGGCTCAAGCATACAGCACTTACCCAGCAGGCTCAAGGCCATGAGTTCAATCCCCAATACCACAAAACAAAACAACAAAAACAAACTGATATTTTTCAGGAATTTTTGCAAGGCAGACATACCAGTAGCCTCTTAACAATTTACTATGTGAACTATAGATGTAGAATTTGCCATTTATTCCTGTACTTGTCATTAATTCCTGAAGCCTGTCAAATGCCCTCTCTGTATCTGTGTCCATGCCACTGAACACAAGAAGAGCCTCCCAGTAGTTGCTTCCTCCCAGACTCCAGCACTAGATAAAGACAAGGAAAGAAGGCCAGAATAGGTGATAGAGTGTCCCTGAACTGCCCCCCCTTCCCTGGGGCCCCTACCTCCAAGAGCAGAGGCTGAGAGGCCCTGAGCCATCAGCAGCTCCCGCAGCCGGGCCACCTCCTCCTGTAATTCTCGGATCAGCCGAGCATTCGGGTCCTCATTGATGACAGCATTGCAGCGGATTTGCTTAGTGCGGTCAGCATACCTAGGTGAGGGACAGGGGGATTAAGAAGACAAGCATCAAGAACCCTTGCTGGGCTACCTGATCCCTACTCTTCTTCCCACTTCCCAAGACATATGGCACGGTCCTGAGTAACCAGCTTCTAATCTTCTGGAACTTTTGAGGGCTGCCCCTGCCAGAGATGAATCTCTTACCTGAGGGTGCTGAGCGTCTCTTCATAATTGATGTCTGCAGGACTCAGAGCTGCGATCATTGCTGTGCGTGAGTTCCCACCTATGAATAGAAAGGATGGAAAAGCTTTAGCTGAGCTGGAGCTTAGGATAAGTCACACTGGGTCATGAGGCCAAGTGAGGGAAGGCTCAGTGAGCAGGGAAGGGTCACAGTATGAGGTAGAGGAAGCCAAGAGTTGTGGTGCAAACCATAAAGTCTAGGCGGAGAGGACTGAGGTCAGGGGTACATCAGGTATCTGTGGACAGTCACAGACCCAGGGGAGAAGGCTGAAGTCAGCAGTGGGTGTGGAGTCAGGGAGAGTCATGGGAGGCAGGTCAGTGAGGCCCTTGGCTTGGCAGCGTGTGGCCTTGATTCCAGCATAGGAAATCTTCAAAGGATATTTCCTAGGTTAGGGGGAGAGACAGTGGGACAACACTGACTAGATTTGGGATTCTAGAGATGGCAAGAGGATTCATCAGGTGTTATCACAGGGGCACCAGAGTCAACAAAGAGGGGAGAAAAACTGCTCACCCAAATTCTCCTTGAGCAGCCAGGTGAGTACAGAGTCCCTGTAAGGGATAAAATCCGACTTTCGCTTCTTTGATTGCTGGGGGGATAAGGAAAGGAAATTAGAATGGGCCACCGCCTATGCCTGCTCTCTTGAACCCTTGTCTTCCCAACCCTCAAGGCTTACCATATCTGCAAGGGCTGAGATCACCTTCCCTAGAGTAGTCAGGGACTTATTAATGTTGGCACCTTCCTGGCAAAGGATGAGGAATGTAGGGGTGAGACTTTCCTCTCCCAATCAGCTCTATTTCCCCTTCCCTTTACCACAAGAGTTCTGGGTGATGATCAATGATCTTCCCACTCAGCCTCTGAACCTGCCCAACATCTATCCCTCCAAAGCATCCTCACCTTCAGACGCATGCCCCGGGCTCCTGAGGAGTCAGCCCGCTCGCTCCCAGCAAGGTCCACCAAACTGATCTTACTGACCTAGGCTCACAGGAAAGAGGAAGTAGGTGACTAGAGTGAGAGAGGGATGGGAAGGCAAATCAGAGAAGAAATCTGAGTGGTTAGCAAGGGCTAGAGAAGTCCTAAGAGAGGACAAATAAAACTGATAGGAGGGCCAGGTGCTGGTGGCTCACGCCTATAGTTCTAGATACTCAGGAAGCTAATATCTAAGGATCATGGTTCAGTCAGCCCGGGCAGGTATGAGAATCTTATCTCCAATTAAGCACCAAAAAAGCCAGAAGTAGAGCTTTGGCTCAAGTGGTAGAGTGCTAGCACTTAGCAAAAAAGTTCAGGGACAGTGCTCATGATCTGAGTTCAAGCCCAGGACCAGCACAAAAAAAAAAAAAAAGGAGGAAATAGAGTCTGTAGATAACAGTAAGAAGCTGGTTACTTATTTATTCATTTACAAATATTTAAATAGGTTGATTGTGTGCTGGGACAAGGGCCCAAGTGGGAGTGGTGACTGTTGAGAAGTCTGGTGAGGACAAGCAGGAGTTGTAATACACTAATATGATGGGGAGGTTAGAGAGGGCTATGGAAGACCCAAGCTGAAGAGGAAGGATAGCCCAAGCCTGTTCTATCACAACACTGTCCTCCTTCTAGAGATCCTCACCTTCTCTGAGTCCAGTCCAGTGAGTTGGTCATGAGAGCGCTGTGTGAAGACGATGGTGAAGACAGCATGGGAACGGCTGCTGGTTTCATTCATGTTGGTGGCAGCCACAGTCCTGATGGGGAAAGTAGAAGTCACAGGGTCCTGCCCCTCACCTTCCCAGCCCTGCCCCCTTCTCTTCCACTCTGTCAGCCGGTCTTACCGTGCCTTATTTCCACAGTCCATGAGGTCAGCAATGTCTGCATAGGAGGTCACAGCCAGCTTAGATAGGTCCTGTACATAGGGGCCCAGGATGGGGTGCTCCCGGACCCGGAGAGAACCCCGACTCTTAGGATTCAAGAGGTCGCGTACCCGCTCACAATAGATCTCCATATAGCTCACCTGAGTAAAGGATGCAAATAAAAAGTGAGGAAGACAATGTTGGCATTGCCAGTAAACCTCACCTAACTCTACCACAAGGACCCGGGTAACTGCAGTGCATGCATACCAGACTTGGTACTAAGCCCCTGACTGTGATGGCTCACTGATCCTCCCACCAACCCTAGGGGTTGGGGGGGTCTGAACCATTAGCATCCACAGATGAACACATTCAGGAGCTTCAGTCTGAAATCACTGCCCAAAGTCATACATAGTCACAGGTAGAGCCCAAAACTAGATCCTAGACTGACTCCCAAGATTGCCTGGTGTCTTTTTTTTTTTTTTTGATCAGTCCTGAGGCTTGAATTCTGGGCCTGGGCACTGTCCCTGAGCTTCTTTTTGTTCAAGTCTGGCACTCTACCACTTGAGCCACAGCGCAACTTCTAGCTTTTTCTATTTATGTGATACTGAGGAATCGAACCCAGGGCTTCATGCATGCTAGGCAAGCACTCTACCACAAAGCCACATTCCCAGCCCTGACTTCAGTCTTAATCATTCTACCTTCTTCCCAGAGACATAGGGGCCCCTCCCTGTGCCCCAATAAAACCAGAGCTTACCTCCACAGAAAAGGAGAGCTGAGCGCTCTGGTTCTCACTAACACGAGAGAAGAGGTCCTCACAAAGCTGGAGGGAAACATAGAAAAGCTCCCTTTTAGGGCACACCTGTCATGCCAGGCCCTTTCCCAGGTTGAACCCTTTCCATAGCCTAAGAGAGAGGTCACAAGTCAGAGGTTTTGCTCCCCAGGATGGCTACTATGCTGCTTGGCCAAGGAAAATTATGGAAAACTCAGTTTTCCAAACTACCTCTTTCTACAGTTAACACCTTACCTGTGGTATAGAGGCCCATAGGGAAATTACACTCACAATAACTACAAAACAAAGAAAAAGAGCAGTATATGGTAAAACCAGGGCCTACACCTAGTATTCTCTGACACCAAAGCCTTGACTCTTTTCATGGAGCTTCACTGCCTCTGGTGGGAATGACAACTTCCCTCTCCAAGAATGCCCACCAGGTTTCAGCCAATCCTCACATTCTATCATATCCCTAATAACTAAAAACCTCAGCCAAGTATCTACCCATTATCCTTCTAGCACTGACCTTCCTTCCCTGTGGAGCAACTCAACTGAAGATGGTCCTTCCCTGACTACTCAACCAGGTCCCCAGCATATACCTGAGGCACAATACCCTGCTGCCCTGGCTCCTGACGCCCCATCATGGTGTAGGACTTCCCAGCTCCTGTCTGTCCGTAGGCAAAGATGCAGACATTGTAGCCTTCAAAGGCATGGAGCAGCATCTCCTCCCCAATGTCTCGATACACCTGCTGCTGAGATGCAAACTGCGGGTCCTCAGCCTAGGTGAACAAGGGGCAGAAAAGAACACCAAGAGCTCTGGATGACCTTGTCCTTTGTTTCTACAGACCAAGAGTCCTGCTCCATCGTCGATGATTGCCCAAAGGAGCTGTGTGTTTCATACCCCCACTCTCATTATCAACTGAAGCATCTTGAGGGTCCTATCCAGCCCTTGCTGGTCCTAATTATCCCAAGAGTCTCTTCCCTTCCCCTCCCCGTCATCGCAGTCACAACCTAATGTTACTATGTACCGCACGCAAGGGTTCTCATCTTTGCAATCCAGTCTCAACCAATCTCTTGGAGATTCCATTTCCCAGTAATACCCCCTTCTCCAGTACCTAAATCCTCTGTCTGCCATAATCTGGCCTACTACTCCCAGCCCAACAAACTCACCGAAGTGTGTGACCAATAGGAATAGTCGAAGGTGAAGCTTTTGGGGGCATCCTTGTTCTGTTTGGGATTGATGATGGCTGAGGGGAAAGGAGAGGGCAAAGGAGGGAAAGTCAAGGTCAGGTACTCCCAACCTCTGCCCACTCCCTTACAATCCTCTGGGGTCCAGCAATCTGACTCCCCATCTCTGTCCTCGCTCATTCTCTCCCTCTTTTAATACTCCCCACCCCCTCCAGCACAAAGCTAATTTTGGCTTCCTAGGACCCGCCCCCACTGAGCTGCCTCCCTGGATTGGGCAATGGAGGGCCGACGGCCAACATTCCCCCTCCCAGGGACAGGAACATGGAAAGGCCAGTCTGCCCTACCCCCACCCTTACAACTAGCACCTGCTCTGCCTAGCATAACCCTCCTCCTGGTTCAGCCCAGCAGGACTGGCCTTCCCCACTTGTGCCCAGCCAGGCCCCTGAGACACACTCACAGGTGGTATTGCCCTGCATGCTGACCACACACTTGGCATCCTGGCTGGTCTCACGGGCATTGAAGGGCCGAACCCTCACTGCCACTTTCACCGAGGCTCCAGCCATAGCTCCAGACACTCCTGCCTTCCTCAACTAAATGACAGAAAAAGAGAGGTGGTCAGAGACACTGGAAGGACAAAGACATTGCCTCCCAGTTTCTCCTTGAAACTGTCTCTCCATTCCCCTGCCCAGACAGCTACCCAGCCCTTCAAGGACTCAATTCCTGTTCCCCAGCCTTCCTCCCAAATGTCACTGTCTTAAGGGGCTTCCAAAAGTATTCCTGCTTTTCTCCCCAGCCCTATCCCAGCTCACAGGGACCTGAGCCATCACCCAGTTACCTGGCGTCCTGGCTCCAGACCAAGGGGGTTGTATCAGCTCTGGCTGCCACCGGCCCTTGAAGGGGGAGCCCCATCCTACACTTGGGGCCTGGCCACACAGCAGGGGCTGTAGGGGAAACCCTGGTAGTGAGGGGAGAGTGGTTAGGAAGCACCTGTGTCCCCAGAGACCTGTCTGGAGTTCTGTATTTGGAGGGCCAGGGATGGGGGTAATGTTAGGAAAAGTAAAGATACTGGCCCCCCTAAGTGCAATGTGAATCCAAGGACAGGGATAGTGATATTTTTATTCCTCGTCACTCACAAGTGTACTAGACATTCAGATGGGAAAGATGAGAGAGAGAGAGGGAAAGATGAGAGGGGGGGAGGGAGGCTGGACAGAGGGCAATTCAGAGAAAGACACACATGGGCAGACATAAGGGTGGTGAGAAGGGGGAGAGGAGGGACAGAAAGTCATAGACACCAAGAAAGTGAGAAAAATGAGACAAAAGACAAGATTGAGGTCACTCTGTGAAGAAAAGAATGGGAGGAGGAAAAAGAAAGACATGGAGGGTGTCAATGCTCAGAAATGTTAATAGGCAGGAAGGGGGTTCTGAAGCCAAAGGACAAAGTGGGAGTCCAGAAAAGAGATGAAAAGAAAGAAAACCCCAAATATAAAACCTAATCAATAATTCCCCAATAGTGTCAGAGAAGGAGAAGTAGATCCCTCTTCCCACCTACAGCCCACACAACCCCCACTTGGGAGGCAGGGAGGACTGATGGCAAAGTTGAAAGGCTGGGACTGGGATCCACAGGGCCTGTCTTGTGGGCCCCAAGCCCCTTGCCCAGCCCCCAGTACTTCCTCCTCAGGATCTAGGACAATGGACAGGGGAGGGTGGGGTCATCCTGTATCCATACCAAACCCCAGAGCTCCATTCTGCAAGACCTGGAATACCTGTGTCTCAAAGGGGAGGCATGAAAAGAGAAGGGAAGGGAAAGGAAGCAAACTGGTCCCAGCCCCAGCCTGGGGCTAATACTATGGCGTCCACTGCCCAAGGGAAGGTGCCAGGCTGGAGCCCAGGAATGTGGGTAATCGGGTACCCACACCCAGAGAGGAGAGTCTGGGCTGCCCACACCCACAGACGGCAGGGTAAGGACTATGGAAAAGGTCCAGGGATGCCAGGTCCCAAAGGACCTCCAACCTTTGTCATACCAGCCTTCTTCCTAAGCATGGGAGGGGAAAAGGGGGCTGGTCTGTCCCAGGACAGGAAGGGAGTAGCCAAAATCAGAGACTGGTTCAGGAAGAACAGTAATGACCCCTCCTCCCCCTAGACCCTGGACAAGCGAGAGAAGGACACTGGTGGGAAGAGAAAAGCAATGGTGATCGCTCTGCAGCTAATAAAGTGGGAAATAGGGTGACACAGCCAGGGGACGGTGGGGGAAGGAAATGGGCGCTCGGTACAAGGGTCTGCCCGTGCGGATTTAAGGGCACGGTAGGTACAAGGGAGGAGCCCCAGGCGAAGTGAGGCCTACTGACCCGAAAGGGGGGCCTCGGGTCACCTACACCTTGCCCACCCAGCAACTTTCCCAACAACACCCCCCCCCACCACCCCGGTCTGGGCGGCCGAGGACCGGGTCTCCTGGCCCAGCCAGCCGACGGCTGCCCGGGGCCTGGCACCGCTCTGCGCCTCCGCGGGACAAATAGCACTTGATCACGGCTCCGGGGCACGGCCGGCTCGGGCCGGGTCTTGCACGCGGGACCCCGGCTCCGCACCCCGCCGCCCGCGCATTCCTCCGCGCCCCCCCCGCCGCCCCGTCCGCCTTCTCCCCGGCTCTGCTCTCACCCCGTAGACCGCAGGGCTCCCGGAGCAGCGCGGCGGAGCGCGAGGAGGGTAAACTTCGTGGAAAGCGCGTGAGACCCGAGCGGGGCCGGTCCCGGGACCCGTTCGGGGCTGCCCCCGCCCCCTCGCCGGGTCCCCGGGCGGCGGGTGGCCGTGTAGCGCGCCGGGGGCGGCAGCAGGAGCGGCGCCAGCGGCCGGCGCCCGCCCGGGCAGCGCGAGCTGGGGCGGGGGACAGGCGTGAGGGCGGGCGGGCGCGCGCCCGCGCGGACGGGCGTGAGGGCGGGCGTGAGCGCGCGCGCGCGCGGACGGGCGTGAGGGCGGGGGGGGGGGGTGCGCGGCCCCGGGAAGAAGCCCGAAGCCACTCAGGCAATTCGTGTTAAAGGGGCAATGCTCTCGGACTGTGGGGCCCACCGACAGGATGCTGGACACAGCGGGCGAGCAGGATGACGGGACCTTGGAGGGCTCCAGGAGCTCGAGGAGCCGACACGAGTAGTGAGTGACAAGCTCCTCCGGAGGGGGGGCGGGGGGGGGGGGCAGGCGTCAGGCCCGCGCACGTCGTCGCCGTCGGGGGCGCGCTCAGGGGGCGGGGCCACCGGTCGGGGTCTAGCCAGGCCCCGCCCCCAGGCGAGCGGCCAGTCGGCTCCTCCCTCCGCCTGGGTCGCCTCTTAGCTGCGTCTTCCCGCCGGGCCAGTCGTTCTAGAATTCGCCAAGCTTCTCCCCAGGTGCCAGGGAAAAGTGTTGGGGACTGAAAAGACAGGCCGGCGCTCGGTACCTTCCCAGGCCTCAAGTTCCACAATGCTGGCCGCCCCGGCCACCACCTCAGGCCCGGATGCTATCGCTGGCCCGGCCGTACCCGCTCCAGAGCCAACGGGGAGGGGGATGTGGGGGGGAGGTGGGCAGTCTAGCGCCCCGAACCCTAGACTGTCCCCCAAGCACGGGCCCACCACCCTGGGGCCGCAGGGGCTCCCGTGGGTCTCTAGCTATGTCCTCAACTTGGCTGGCCCCACAGGTCCAGCCAGGGTCCCGTCCACTCCCAAGGGTCTTGTACCGGCTTCAGGTCACCCCCTCAGGCCTGGCCCTCGGCTCCAGTCTAGCCCAGGCCCAGCCTTCCCCCTAGGTCCTCATCAACCCACTCAGGCGTCAATTGCCATCAAGACCTTGGCTACCCCCTTTAGCCATGGTTGAGCATCCTCCTATCTAGCTTGCTGAAGCCCTATCCCGTGAGACAGCCCACTGAGTCTTCGGCCACCTCTTCGGCCCAACTATTTGAGGTCTAAACGTCCTTCAACTCCCAACTGCTCCTTGAGTTCTGCTGAGTCACTCTGGCTCAAGACATCCAATTTGGACCCCACTTGCCCCTTTCAGCCCAACTTTATCCCTCTCTGCCCAACTTCCTCTCTCCAGTTCTATAACATTCCATAACTAGCCCATGTCTTGGATAACCTCAAAGTCTGTTTAACTCAGATTTTCCAATTGTCTTTTTCTCTCCTTTGTGCAGCTTATATGCACTCCCTTGTGGATCTAGTATTTGTTGCTTTTTTTTTTTTGTGGGGGGGGGAGGACTTATCCTGGGGATAAAACCCAGAGACTTGTACATGCTAGGAAGTGCTCTACCATTCAGTTATATCGCCCCAGCCCTTAACGTACTATTTTTTTTCAAGGTGCAAAAGATAAATGGTATGTTTATTAAGTAAAATTTTTATAGTATTTTTTTGTTTATTTAGAAACAAAGAATGAAAGAAGAAAAAGAGGAGAGAGAGAGGAGGAAAGGATATTAATGGGTGAATTCCCAGTTGGGTATCCCAATCTTTTTTTTTTTTTTTCTAATCAGGGCTTGAACTCAGGGGGCTTGAGCTCTCACTTGGCATTTTTATTCAAAGATGGTGCTCTACCACTTGAGCCACCTCTCTACTTCCAGCTCTTTTGCTGTTTGAAATGAATGAATCTCACAGACTTTCCTGCACAGGTTGACTTTGAACCCAGTTCTCATATCTCAGCCTCCTGAGTAGCTAGGACTTTAGGTTTGAGCCACCCAGTTCATTTTCTTTTTTTTTTCTTTTTTTAATTTGTATTTTTTTTTATTATTGTGAAAATACGGTACAGAGGAGTTACAATTAGTTAGGCAAGATAATGAGTACATTTCAGAACAAAGCGTTTTTTGTTTTGTTTTGTTTTTGATGCTGGTCCTGGGGTTTAAACTCAGGGCCTGGGCACTGTCCCTGAACTTTTTTGCTCAAAGCTAGTGCTCTACCACTTGAACCACATCTCCACTTCCTCTTTTTCCTTTTTTGTTGTTGTTGTTGGTGGTGGTGGTGGTGGTGGTAGTGGTCATAGGGCTTGAACTCTGGGCCTGGGTGCTTGCTTTCCCTCAGCAATTCAGCTCAAGGCAAGTGCTCTATCACTTGAACCAAAGCACCACTTCCAGTTTTCAGCCTGGGCTGGCTTTGACTTGTGATCCTCAGATCTCAACCTCCTGAGTAACTAGGATTACAGGTGTGAGCCACCGACGCCCAGCCCTAATCCATTTTTCCTTTGTTGAGATAGTGTCTTACTAGGTAGCCCAGGCTGGCCTTGTACACGTGATTCTCCTGCCTTTGCCTCCAGACAGCTGGGATTGCAGACCCAGTCTAGGTTTTATCTAATGGTTTTTGTTTTGTTTGTTTGGGGAGGATTGTTTTGGGGTTTTTTGTTTGTTTTGGTCATTGGGCTTGACCTCTGGGACTGGGCACTGTCCCTAAGCTTATTTTGCTCAAGTCTAGCACTCTACCACTTAAGCTACAGTGTCACCTCCAGCTTTTCCTGAGGAATAGGACCCAGGGCTTCATGCTTGCTAGGCAAACACTCTACCACTAAGCCACATTCCCAGCCCTGCTCTCTACCACTTTCAGCGAAAGTGTCACTTCAAGAATCTTGGTGATAATTGGAGATAGAAACCAAATGGGCTTTTCTGCCCAGGCTAGTTTTGAACCATGATCCTCAGATCTCAGCCTCCTGAGTAGGATTACATGAGTGAGCCACCAGTGTCTGGCTTATCTAGTTTTCTTAATTCCCTTTCCTATGCCAACTAGCTCTAAGGTTACCTTTGGCTGCTGGATAAATATACTAGCCCTGTGTAATTGACTTCTCTACTCATTTTTTTTTTTTTTTTTTGGTACTGGGGTTTGAAGTCAGGGGTTGCGTGCTATACCTTAGCATTTTTTTTTTTTTTCCTCAAGGCTAGTGCTTTACCACTGGTGCCACAGCCCCACTTCTGGCTTTTTATTGGTTAACTGGAGATAAGAATCTCACTACTTTTCCTGTACAGGCTGAATTAGAACCACACTCCTCCAATCTCAGCCTTTTGAGTGGCTAGGATTACAGGTATGAGCCACTGGCACCTGACTCTACTAACCTTAACTGAAGCCATTCTGAGCTGTCTCTTTCCCTGTCATCAATTTGTCACTCTGTCTACACTTAATGTTTACTAACCACTTGTACCTAATTCATTTTATATCTCTAAATTCTGTCACTTTTCTACTTGTTCCTACCACCAATTCTCCTTTTTCCTTTTATAATCCCATATTACAATCAAGTCATGTAACTACCAACTATGAATTTTACTTACTCTTCACACTATTTACCTTCAGAAAGTTGGCTTTCTGCTTCACCTTTTACAACATCTTTCCTGTGTATTACTATCTTTAACCTTGAATGTTTAGCTGTCTAACACTAGTAAATCTCTTTTTTTGTTTGGGTTTTTTTTAACTGTATTTTTTTGTCTTTTCTTTTTTGGTACTGGAGATCGAACCCAGGACGTTGCACTTGCTAGGCAAGCGCTTTGCCACTGAGCTACATCCCAGCCCTAATAAATCTCTTAAGATAATTAATAGTCTTCTATTTAAGGAGCCATCCATTATCTTTCCCAGACTATAGATGTGTTTCTGGTTTCATCCATCTCTACTTCCACTGCATGAATGAATGACTCATTTTCCATTATCTTCCCAGCACCAAGAACAACATTTAGTCCAGCTACCCAAACCAGTCCAGTCATGCAGGTACAAGAAGATGGAGACAACCTCATGCCTTTTGCCAAGTGAGTCCTCTTTACTGGGTAGAGAGGATGGGATGGAAGGAATATTGTATGCGTGGGTTCTTCCTCAAGATGAGTAGGAAATAAGAAACAGGAAGCCCAGTGTCTGAACCCTAGAGGTTGACAATTCATCATGCAACAAATAGCTCTTGAATTTGGTTGTAATAGCTCATACCTGTAATCCCAGCTGACATCAGGAGGATCTCACTTCAAGGCCAGCCCAGGAAAAAAGTTCCCAAGACTTCATCTCAACCAATAGAAAAATCAGCATGGCCAGGTGCTGGTGGCTCATTTCTATAGTCCTGGTACTCAGTAGGCTAAGATCAGAGGATCAGGGTTCTAAGCCAGAACAGGAAGGAAAGTCTGACTTTGTATGTGTATACATGTGTAACAGTCCTGGGGCTTGAACTCAGAGCCTAGACACTGTCCCTGAGCTTCTGCTCAAGGCTAGTGCTCTACCACTTGAGCTACATCATCACTTCCAGCTTTTTCTGTTTATGTGCTACTGAGGAATTGAACTCAGGGCTTCATACATGCTAGGCAAGCATTCTACTAAGCCACATTCCCAGCCCTCTTCAATTTTCATTATGGGGATTTTCCATAATTAGTAAAATAGTATGTTAGCTTCAATAATTATCATTATTCAGGGCTGGGAAGGTAGCTCAGTGGTAGAGCGCTTGCCTTGCAAGCATGAAGCCCTGGGTTCAATTCCTTAGCACCACATAAACAGAAAAAGCCGGAAGTGGCTCTGTGGCTCCAGTGGTAGAGCGCTAGCCTTGAGCTGAAGAGCTGAGGGACAGTGCCCAGGCCCAGAGTTCAGGCCCCATGACAGGCAAAAAAAAAAAAAATAATAATAATAATAATTATCATTATTCAGAAACTTTACACATCAAGCTCCCATTCCCCCAATTGTTTTTTAAAGTATATTTCCAATCTTGTATCATTTCACATTAGCTAGCTAGTTAGCTAGCTAGCTACTGTGTATGCATATGTGTGAGTGCATGGGTGTACACCAGCTCTGGAGCTTGAATTCAGGGCTTGAATGCTGCCTCTTAGCTTTTTTTTCCCCAAGGCTGGTGCTCTACCAATTGGGCCACATCTACATCTCTAATCTCATGCACTTTCCTTGCATAGGCTAGCTTTGAATCTTGATCCTCAGATCTCAGCATTATAGGAATGACTCACTGGTGCCTGGCACATGATCACATTTTAAGAGACTACTCTCAATGGTCTATACAGAAGAGATTGTGGAGAACAGGAGATGAGAACAGAAACGGGGAGAGGAAAAGATGGAGATCATTACAATAGACCAGGAAGAAGATTATCCATAATATAATGGTAGGACTGGAAATGATGAAAAGTGGTCTATTTGGAGTATTTTTCAGATTTAGAACTAGCAAGGGGGCTAGGAATGTAACGCAGTGGTAGAGTGCTTGCATGAGGCCCTGGTTCAATTCCTCAGTACCACATAAGCAGAAAAAGCCAGAAGTGGCACTGTGGCTCAAGTGGTAGAGTGCTAGCCTTGAGTTGAAGAGCTGTGGGACAGCGCCCGGGCCCAGAGTTCAGGCCCCATGACTGACCCCCCCCCCCACAAAAAAAAAAAACTAGCAAGATTTGCTAATGTAACAGTTGAAAATAAGGCTGGGCACCAGTGGCTCACGCCTATAAATCTAGCTACTCAGGAGGCTGAGATCTGAGGATCACGGTTCAAAGCCAGCCAGGGCAGAAATATCCCTGAGACTCATCTCCAATTAACCACCAGAAAACTGGAAGTGGCACTGTGGCTCAAGTGGAAGAGTACTTGCCTTGATCTGAAGAGCTCAGGGACAGTGCCCAGGCCTGGAGTTCAAGCCGCATGACCGACAAAAAAAAAAAAGTTGGGCTGGGAAGGTGGCTCAGTGGTAGAGCGCTTGCCTTGCATGCAGGAGGCCCTGGGTTCGATTCCTCAGCACCACATAAGCAAAAAGAAAAAAAGCCAGAAGTGGCGCTGTGGCTCAAGTGGTAGAGCACTAGCCTTGAGCTGAAGAGCTGAGGGACAGTGCCCAGGCCCAGAGTTCAGGCCCCAGGACCGGACCCAAAAAATAAAAAAATAAAAAATAAAATAAAATGGCACACAAATTAAAAAAAAAAAGTTGAAAATAAGGCACATGAGATTTTTGTTCTTGGTAGCTGAGCATTTGGAATGCCTTCCAGCCAAATGAGAAAGGCTGAAAAGCTGTTGGGTGGAGCTTAAGGAGGAATCAGGGCTGTAAGTAGAGATTTAGGTGTATCAGCACACTGGCAATATTAAAGTTGTAGAAATGAATGAGATCATCTAAATAAAGCAAGATGGAAATGGGGAAAATAAAGAGTTCCTGGACATTCTACTTAAGAACACAAGAAGGGGGCTGGGAAGCTGGCTCAGTGGTAGAGCGCTTGCCTTGCATGCCTGAGGCCCTGGGTTCAATTCCTCAGCACCATATAAGCAAAAAGAAAAAAGCCGGAAGTGGCGCTATGGCTCAAGTGGTAGAGCGCTAGCCTTGAGCTGAAGAGCTGAGGGACAGCGCCCAGGCCCAGAGTTCAGGCCCCACAACCGGACCCCCCCAAAAAAAAAAAAGAACACAAGAAGGGGCTGGGCGCCAGTGGCTCACGCCTGTAATACTAGCTACTCAGGAGGCTGAGATCTGAGGATCTCAGTTCAAAGCCAGCCCAGGCAGGAAAGACCGTGAGACTCTTACCTCCAATAAACCACTCAGAAAACCGGAAGTGGTGCTGTGGCTCAAGTGGTAGAGCTGTAGCTTTGAGCTGAAGAGCTCAGGGACAGTGCCCAGGCCCAGAGTTCAAGCCCCACAACCAAAAAAAAAAAGAATCAAAGAAGGGTTGGGAATGTGGTTTAGGGGTAGAATGCTTGCCTAGCATGCATGAAGCCCTGAGTTGGATTCCTCAGTACCACCTAAACAGAAAAGTCTGGAAGTGGTGCTGTGGCTCAAGTGGTAAAGTGCTAGCCTTGAGCCAAAGAAGCTTAGGGACAATGCCCAGGCCCAAGTTTAAGCCAATGACTGGCAAAAAAAAAAAAAAGTGAGACCCTATCTACAAGGATATTCTTTTTTTTACTAGTTAACCAGATTTAATAGTCATTAACAATAGATTAATTATTATTAATTATTAACTAAATTATTGATTATTAATTAAACAAAGCATGTATATATTAAAGAAAGCAGTACAGAAATGTACTGTATGTGAACTGTTTACAAAAACATACAAAATGGGCTGGGAAGGTGGCTCAGTGGTAGAGTGCTTGCCTTGCATGCCTGAGGCCCTGGGTTCGATTCCTCAGCACCACATAAGCAAACAGAAAAAAGCCGGAAGTGGCGCTGTGGCTCAAGTGGTAGAGTGCTAGCCTTGAGCTGAAGAGCTGAGGGACAGCGCCCAGGTCCAGAGTTCAGGCCCCATGACCGGACCCCCCCAAAAAAAAAATGTTGGATGGCACAAGGGATACAGTGCTAATATAAATAGACTGTTTAAGCTAAGTGTTTAACATAAACAGTCCATCCCTATAACTAACAAAGAATATTTAAGGGACATGAAATATTAATCCTTTTGAGATAAGTGAAACAAAGTCGGAGTGGTTAGAATTCTCTCTCCTGGATCATTGCATTGGCCTAAGGAAACTATGTCAAATTACTAGAGTAGCCAGCTATCCTTTTTTTGTTTGTTCGTTCGTTCTAGTTCTGGAGCTTGAACTCAGGGCCTTTTGCTCTTGCTTCATATTTTCACTCAAGGCTGGTGCTCTGCTACTTGAGCCACTTCTCTATTCCTATTCATTTTTTTCAATGCAAAATGAAAATGGAACAGTTTCAACCACAATAATCACCTCACTATTCTAAACAGCATGAAACCTACTCCTGCCTTAGGACCACATGTCCTATCCTCTTTCTCCCAAGGCTAAAACTTTAAGCCCCTTTATTCTACTCAAAGTATAGATGCCTTACTTAATACTTCAGCTTCTATTCGCACACTTTGTATTTCTTTTCCCTGCTTTATCTTTTGTGTGTGTGTGTGTGTGTGTGTGTGTGTGTGTGTGTGTGTGTGTGTATCTGTGTCTGTGTGTCCATTGTGGGGCTTGAACTCTGGTCTTGGGTGTGATCCCTGTGCTCTTCAGCTCAAGGTGAGCACTTTACTGCTTGAGCTACATCGCGAGTTTTCTAGTGCTTATTGGAGATAAGAGTCTCATGGGCAGGGCTGGGGAGGTGGCTCAGTGGTACAGCACTTGCCTTGCATGCCTGAGGGCCCCCCCCCCCAAAAAAAAAGAGTCTCATGGACTTTCCTGCCCAGGCTGGCTTGAACTGTGATCCTCAGCTCTCAACCTCCTCAGTAGCTAGGATTACAGGCATGAGCCACCAGCGCCTGGCTCCCTGCTTTAACTCTCATTATCTATAATGTAAGTAGTTGAGCTTGAACTCAGGGCCTCTCACTCAACTGAGGGACTCTTACTCTCACTTAGTGTTTTTACTCAAGGCTGACACTCTACCACTTGAGCCACACCTCCACTTCTAGCTTTTTAGTGGCTAACTGGAGGTAAAAGTCTTCTGGAGAGCTGGGAAGGTGGCTCAGTGGTAGAGCGCTTGCCTTGCATGCCTGAGGCCCTGGGTTCGATTCCGCAGCACCACATAAGCAAAAAGAAAAAAGCTGGAAGTAGCTCTGTGGTTCAATTGGTAGAGCGCTAGCCTTGAGCTGAAGAGCTGAGGGATAGCGCCCAGGCCCAGAGTTCAGGCCCCACGACTGGACCCAACCTGCACAGGGCTAGATTCAAACATGATCTGAAGATCTCAGCCTGCTGAGTAGAATTACAGGCACAAGTTACCTATGCCTGGTTGGTCTCTCCTCTTCCCCTCTCCTTCCTCCTCCATTTCCCCTCTTGTTCCTCTCTCATCCTTTTCCTCCCCTCCTCTCCTTCCCTTCTTGCCCCTCCCCTCCCTTCCCTTCTGCTGGTCCTGGGGCTTGAGCTCAGGGTCTAGGCACTGTTCCCTAAACTCCTCAAAGCTAGTACTCTACCACTTGAAAGCTAGTACTCTACCACTTCAGCCACAGCTCCACTTCTGGCTTTTGGATGGTTAATTAGGAAAAGCCTCACTGACTTCCCTGCCCAGGCTGGCTTTGAACTGTGCTTGTCATATGCTAGCCAGCCCCCTGAATAGCTAGGAATCCAGGCATTAGCCACTGGCACCCATCACTATAGTCTATATAATAATTCTGCTTTCCAAGTAATGTTCTCTGTTTTGATGTATTGAAGTTTGAGATGCAGTGAAATCTAAGGCTTTGACAATAACTTATATCCTATTTCACCTTATCTCCAATCTCCATTCAAATCAGAGGCTTTACAACCTTCCTGACTTAAGTAGACAGGGAAAGGTTGGGACCCTGAATCCTGGAGGTGAGTAGATGATGTCACACAAGAACATGGTTATGAGTCTACTACGTTGTTATCTTAGGTGTTCCAAAGTGGTCAGCCGATCTACACCCCTATCCCTGCCTTCCCAGAGCCTCAAACCAATGGCCCAACATTATGGTGATGTCTTTTGGGAGAACCTTACCCAAAGGTCCAAGTGAGTAATGGAGAAAATTAGGAATAATTGGCAGTAGAGAAGGTGAGACTGTAGTTTTTCTTGTGTGTGTGTGTGTGTGTGTGTGTGTGTGTGTGTACAGGCATGTGCATATACATGCTCCAGTAGTAGGGCTTAAACACAGCTCACACATTCAGCAGTAAGCTTACACTTGAGTTATACCTCCAGTCCCAGGTTTTTCCTGGTTAATTAGAGATAGTTTCTCAAAATTGTTTGACTAGGCTGGCTTCAAATTTCAGATCTCAGCCTGCTGAGAAGCTAGGATTATAGGCATGATTCACTGGCACCTAGCTTGAGCCTGTAAAGTTTTTTTTTTTTTTGGTCCGTTATAGGGCTTGAACTCTGGGCCTGGGCACTGTCCCTGAGCTCTCCAGCTCAAGGCGAGTACTCTACCATTTGAGCCACAGCACCACTTCCAGTTTTCTGGTGGTTCATTGGAGATAAGAGTCTTATGGACTTTCCTTGCCTGGGCTGGCTTTGAACCTTGACCCTCAGATCTCAGACTCCTGAGTAGCTAGGATTACACCAGCACCCAGCTCTGGAGATAACACTTTACTGGCTGATAGGCATTGTCATTCCTAAGGCCAGACAAGTAGTAGTAGAAGTCATCAGAGAAGAATCTGACTGTAATCCCCTTGTTATACTTTACAGCCCCAACTGGATGGAGGAACAATCCATTCCACCCAAGTTGGTATGATGAGTTCTGCCCTTCTATACTTGTACCTACTGTTTTCCTGGCCCCAGCTGTCCTTCTTTCTCTTTCCCTCTGGTGTTTCCTAACCAGTGGACTAACCAGGCCCTCTTTTCTGTGAATTTCTCATCATGGTTTCCAGAACACACCCGGACTTCCCAATACCCCTGACTCTCCTGAGTTCTGTCCAAGGTCCCCAAGAAATCCTCTAGCTCCCTTTTCTCATTCTCTGGCACAGAGAGGCACTGGTTGCTCCCAGCCTGGCATATACCCTCCTGAGGGGCTACTTCCTCCTGAGATGCTTTGCGGAAGAAAGAGAAAAAGGCTGCATTTGGAGAAAATACATCAGAGACCTGGAGGCATCCCAGCCCGTGTCAGGGCTGTCACTTTTCACCTGGAGGACCTGAAGAGGCGCCAGAGAACCATCAATGAGTAAAGGGGGGGGGGGGGGCGTGCGCATGGGGGAGGGTGTAAATTGGCCTTGGGCGCCAAATAGGGTTTGAAGGCAGGATGGTTCTTTGTTGTTGTTGTGGGGTTTTGTTGTTGTTGTTTGTGGGGGGGGGGTTGGCCAGTCTTGGGGCTCGAACTCAGGATCAGGACCCTGTCCCTAAACTTTTTTTTTGGGGGGGGGTCCGGTCGTGGGGCCTGAACTCTGGCCTGGGTGCTGTCCCTCAGCTCTTCAGCTCAAGGCTAGCGCTCTACCACTTGAGCCACAGCGCCATTTCCGGCTTTTTTCTTATGTGGTGCTGAGAAATCGAACCCAGGGCCTCGAGCATGCAAAGCAAGTGCTCTACCACTGAGCCACCTTCCCAACCCTGTCCCTAAACTTCTTTTGCTCAAGGCTAGCACTCTACCACTTGAGTCACAATACACACTTCCAGCTTTTTCTGTTTATGTGGTACTGAGGAATCGAACCCGGGGCTTCATGGATGCTAGGCAAGCACTCTACCACTAAGCCACATTACCAGCCCAGCACGATGATTTTTGATGATTTTTATTATTTATTTTGTCACTCGTGGGGCTTGAACTCTGAGCCTGGGCACTGTCCCTGAGCTCTTCAGCTCAAGACAAGCACTCTCCACTTGAGCCACAGTGCTACTTCGTGTATTCTAGTGGTTTATTGCTACTTTACTGCCCTGGCTAGCTTTGAACCATGATCTTCAAATCTCAGCCTCCTGAGTAGCTAGGATTATAGGCGTGAGCCACTGGTGCCAGGCCAGGATGGTTTTTACAAAGTAAGGTTAAGAGCTTTGAGGGAATTGGATGTTGTTTGGGAAGCAGCCAATGGCTTAGTGCAATAGATTTCTATAATTTGGAAGAAGCAAGGAAGTGAGGGATAAAGGACTCACCATATGAGTTGCAAGGAGTAGAAACTGGATTAATGAAGAAAGGAAAGAAAGTACATCACAAACTAGAAATTAGGTATCAACTCTGGATCCCTAGACTACAAATATTTGTCTAGGAGGAGCAGAAAAATAGTACTGGTGAGTTGGAAGTCAAGTGGCAACACTCTTAGGTCCCAACAAGAATTACTTCAAAACAGAAGGGTAAAGAATGAGGAGACAAAGTCTGTCTTCCAGGTAGGCACTTCTCTCCTGAAAACCTTTACAGGCTGAAGAAGGCTCAGTGGGGCAGCTGCAGGGTTGCACCTGAGCCCCTGCTGCTTGAGGCAGAAGGCTCTAGATTCCCTGGAACCACTGAAAACTGTGATCTGCAATTGAAGAGGGCAACAACCTTTCTACAGGAAGAGGGCCATTTTGTCCATCCCGACAGGGCCCAGGTATGCTAGACAGGAACTTAGTTGGGTGGTAGAAACTGTTGTGGATCTTTTTTTTTTTTTTTTGTGGGGCTTGGGCGCTGTCCCTCAGCTCTTCACCTCAAGGCTAGTGCTCTACCACTTGAGCCACAGCGCCACTTCTAGCTTTTTTTTCCTGCTTACGTGGTGCTGAGGAATCGAACCCAGGGCCTCATGCATGCAAGGCAAGTGCTCTACCACTGAGCCACCTTCCCAGCCCCTGTTGTAGATCTTAAAAAAAATAGTGTTATTATAAAGGTGATGTACAGAGGGGTTACATTTTCATAAGTCAGATGAGTACATTTCTGGTTTTTTTTGGGGGGGGGGGGAGGGGTCCAGTTGAGGGCCTGAACTCTGGGCCTGGGCACTATCCCTGAGCTCTTCAGCTCAAGGCTAGTGCTCTACCACTTGAGCCACAGCGCCACTTCCGGCTTTTTTTTCTGCTTATGTGGTGCTGAGGAATCGAACCCAGGATCTCATGCATGCAAGGCAAGCACTCTACCATTGAGCCACCTTCCCAGCCCAGATGAGTACATTTCTTTTTGAACAATGTCACCCCTTCCTTCACTCTCTCAGTTTTTCCCTTCTGTCCCTACCTGATGTGGATTTTTGGTCTTGTGTGCAGATAGAAGAGTCAGGTTGGATAGATTTGAGAGAATCAAAAATAAAGTAGGGAAGCCAGATGGTAGTGGCACTCCTGTAATCCTAGCTACTCAGGAGACTGAGATCTGAGGATCACAGTTTGAAGCCAGACCAGGGAGAAAAGTTCCTGAGATTCTTTTTTTTTTTTTTGGGTCCGGTCGTGGGGCCTGAACTCTGGCCCTGGACACTGTCCCTCAGCTCTTCAGCTCAAGGCTAGCGCTCTACCACTTGAGCCACAGCGCCACTTCCGGCTTTTTTCTTTTTGCTTATGTGGTGCTGAGGAATCGAACCCAGGGCCTCAGGCATGCAAGGCAAGCGCTCTACCACTGAGCCACCTTCCCAGCCCCCTGAGATTCTTATCTCTAATAAACCACCAGAAAATTGGAAGTGGGACCGTGGCTCAAAGTGGTAGAGTGCTAGCCTTGAGCACAAAAGCTCAGTGACAGCACCCAGGCCCTGAGTTCAAGCCCCATAACTGAAAACTAAATATAAACAAATAAAGAGCCAGGTGCTGGTGGTCTATGCCTGTAACCCTAGCTACTCAGGAGGCTGAGGGCTGAGGATTGTGGTTTCAAAGTCAACCCAAGCAGAAAGTCCATGAGACTCTTCCAATTAACCACTAACAAGTAACTAGTGCAGGTGTGGCTCAAGGAAGGCGTGGCACCAGCCTTGAGTGAAAATGCTAAGAGACAGTGCAAATAACCTGGGTTTTCAAGCCCCATTTCTGGCATGCACAGGCACATAAATAATGTAGGCAAGAATCAGAAACGTGTAAGCCTGGAGACCAGGCGATCCAGAAGAGACCTTCCCCCGCCCCCCCCCCCCCAATTTGTCTCATCTACAGCTGCTTTGGTCCCCCTGGAGTCCTCTGGGCCAGGAGAGTTTTTGTGCCTCTGGGAGGCTGAGTTCTTTTTCCTGCAGCGCTGTTACAGCCACAAGAAACCCTGTTCACAATCTCACGGAGATGGAGCCTGAGGAGTAGGAAAAAAACATCCAAATCCAACACGTTTACGTTGCTTCATGACCCAAGACAAGTTCCATCACCAACATCGCCCCACTGCGGACCAGGACGTGTTTCCTTCATTTGGCCTTCGCACTCACTTAGGCTTCACAGCCCCCCGGGCCCTTGGGGCTCCCGTCGAAACTGCCCTTTCACAGTTATTCCTCCGAGGCCCTTCTGTTATTAAAGCAAGTTAGTGCAGCCTCTCTGTGTGAACCAGTGATGGGAGGGACAAGAAGGAAGTGGGGGGGGGGGTCCGTTCACCTTCCCAGGGACCCAGCTACCATGAAATCGGGGAGTCCTCAGTCTACGAGTCTCGCCGGAGGCCAGAAGAGTTCTGCCCGGGTCCAGCGCTCTTCGCGGCAGCCCCCACCCCACCATCCTCCCGGCCGACAAGCTTCTGCGTCGGGCCGAGGCCCCTGTCAGGAACGTGAGCCCGGCGACCCCGCGCCCGCCCCAGCCCCACAGCGCTGACCCCAAGTCCCTCCCGACCCCCGTTCTCTTTCCGGGAAGCCCCGCCCCGTGCGCAGTGACGTCGGACGCCGCCGCCGGCCGGCGCTGGGGGGGGTCGGTGTGGGGGAGAATGGCCGCTGCCGCCGTCACCCGCGGGACCCCGGGAGGTAAGAACCAGGCCGCCGCCCGCCGCTCCGCCCCCGCGCCAGGGGGCGCCGCTCGCCGCGCCCCGACGTGAGCGCCGCGCCGAGGACCACCGTCCCTCCCCTCGCCCCGCCGCCCCGCTCCGGTCCTCCTCCCCCGCGCCAGGGGGCGCCGCTCGCGGGCCCCGCTGCGGACCTTCGCATGCGGGGAGACCCGGCGCCCCGGCGCCGACCCTGACCCTGGCTCGCCGCGCGCGCGCGGACTCTGCCCCGTGGCTTCTCCAGAACCTCCCTGGGTGCAGACCGGACCCTCCCACCCCGGAGGTCCCGCCGGGGTGCCCGGCCCAGCCGTGGGGGCCGCCCCGAGCAGGGCGTCTGAGCCCCGCGCCGCCGGGCCCTCGGCCCGGGTCCCGCTCCTGCTCCGCACCTTGGCAGGCTGCCCAGCCAGGACTGCGCACCTGCGCCCCGGGGCGGAGTCCTCACCCCAGCCCGGGCTTCCCAGCACACGGCCGAGCCGGGACCGGCCTCCTCCTCTCCATCCCCGAACACCTGGTGCCGCCGGCGCCCAGAGCCTCCTCCAGCTCCCATCTGTTCCCCCAGAAGGGCGGGGGATCGGGCTGGAGACAGAGCGGTGGATGGGGTAGGGTAGGCCTGAGGCCAGGGAGGCAGAGGCGGGTGGGGAGAGGGGTGCTGGAGGTGGAGTGGGCTGTGGGTTCCTTGTAGAGGACAGGTTGTCCTGAGGGTGGGAAACTGGGTTCTGTGGACCTAACCCAAATGCCACCAGACCTTGACCAACCTGAAGGAGAGAGAGTAGGTGAGGTCAGTTATCAGATCTGCCCTTCCCCTTGGAAAAACCAAACAGAAGGAACTCAGGGTGTGTCTCAGGCTTAGCTTGCCACCCAGACTTCCATCTCCTGTCCTCCCCCAGCAGCCAGGCAGGCTTGCCAAACCATCCTACAGGACCTGATGTCCCCATTTCCAGCCCTGGGATCCTGACACCTCTTAGTCCTAGCCTGGCTGAAGTCCTACGAGTCTTCTCCTTCCCCTCCCCCCCATTCTTTCTGACTACTCCGTTCCGTCCTTTCACCCTACTCATGTTGGGTTTTGTCACTATAGCTGGTGAGGTTCACTCATCTCCATTTCCCAGTTCTATTGTCACATTGTCACGTCCTTCCACTCTTTGACTCATCTTTCCCAGATATCAAGATCCAGTAATGCACCCTTTCCCTCCTGCTCCTCATACTGCTTTATTGTGGGGGTTTCTGCCATGACCTTATTCTCTCCCTTCCCAGCACAGACTCCCCCTCCCCTCGGCCCCTCAGGCCGGGGGTGACCTTGCCCCCTGGAGTCCTCACCATGAATACCAAGGACACCACCGAGGTTGCTGGTGAGTTCATAAGCCAAGTTTCCAGTTTGGGTACAGACTTGTTCTCCCCACACTGGATGACCCTCTGATTCCTGGCTCCCTGCCCTCTTCCTGGTTGTAGTTTTTCCTAGAGCCTTAGATGGCCTTCAGACCTTTTCCCCTGGGCTGCCTCATAGCAATGCCAGAGGGGCCGTTAAGCTCTGCCTTCTGTTCCCTCTAGAGAACAGCCACCACCTGAAGATCTTCCTCCCGAAGAAGCTGCTGGAGTGTCTTCCTCGATGCCCATTGCTGCCTCCAGAACGGCTACGGTGGAATACAAATGAGGTTTTCTAGGGAGATTGAGGAGTATGGGCCCAGCAAGGCCTAGTGGGGGAGTAGAGGATGAGGAGGGTGTTTTTGTGTCTGTGGACATGTCTCAGCACAGAGCACTGCTCTAGACTCTTTGGGGGATTATAGAAGTACAAAGAGGGGCTAGGAATGTGGCTTAATGGTAAAGTGCTTGCCTAGTATGCATGAAGCCCTGGGTTCAATTCCTCAGTACCACATAAACACAAAACTCCAGGAGTGGCGCTGTGCTTAAGTGGTAGAGTGCTAGCCTTGAGCATAAAGAGGTTCAAGCCCCAGGACTGGCAAAAAAAAAAAAGTACAAAGACCAGGGATCTTGTAGGCTCTCACTTCTTTCCAACAAACCCACCCAGGTAAAAACAATAGCTACTGCTTATTAACTAGGTATTTTCTTTCTTTTTTTGGGGGGGGGGGGTTGGTCATGGGGATTGAATTCTGGGCTTGGGCACTGTCCCTGTGCTCTTCAGTTCAAGGCGAGTGCTCTACTGCTTGAGCCACAACACCACTTCTGGTTTTCTAGTGGTTTATTGGAGATAAGAGTCTCACAGACTTGGGCTGGGAAGGTGGCTCAGTGGTAGAGCGCTTGCCTTGCATGCATGAGGCCCTGGGTTTGATTCCTCAGCACCACATAAGCAAAAAGAAAAAAAGCCGGAAGTGGCGCTGTGGCTCAAGTGGTAGAGCGCTAGCCTTGAGCTGAATAGCTGAGGGACAGCGTCCAGGCCCAGAGTTCAGGCCCCACGACTGGACCCCCCAAAAAAAAAAAAAAAGAGTCTCACAGACTTTCCTGCCCCGGCTGACTTTGAGCCGTGATCCTCAGATCTCAGCCTCCTGAGTAGCTAGGATTACAGGCATGAGCCACCAGCACCCAACTGCCTGTTAGGTTTTTTGTTGGTTGGTTGTGGTGGGGGGCGGGGGTGGCAGTCATACCAGGGTTTGAACTCAGGACTTCCTTTGCTCTCAGTTTTTCCACTCCTGCCTGGAGTTCTGCCACTTGAGCCACTCCTCCAGTCCAGCATCTTTGCTGCATAATTGGAGAAGGAATCATCTCATTGATTGTCCTGCCTGAGCTAAAAAGTGATCCCTCAGAGCTGGGTGCTGGTGGCTCACACCTATAATCCTAGCTACTCAGGAGGCTGAGATCTGAGGATCAGGGTTCAAAGCCAACTCGTGCAGGAAATTCTGTGACACTCATATCTCCAATAAACCACTCAGAAAACCAGAAGTGGTGCTGTGGCTCAAGTGGTAGAGCACCCGCCTTAATTGAAGAGCTCAGGGACAGCATCCAGGCCAAGAGTTCAAGGCCCAGGACTAACTGACAAAAAAAAAAAAAAAAGTGATCCTCAGATCTCAGCCTCCTGAGTAACTAGGATTACAGCCACAAGCAATGGGCACCTGTTATTATTTTTGTTTTGTTTCTTAAGATAGGGTATCAGTTTTTAGTCCAGGCTGACATTGAATACAAGATCCTCCTGTCTCAGTCTTCAAAGTATTGAGATTAGAGGTGGTTCACAGCCCCTGCTGTTCACCACCCACCTATACTGGCTCCTTCTGGAGGTCACAGTCCTTTTGTTGTATACCTGTATTCTGTATAATTAATGCTTCATTTTTAGTTGGTGGTCGATAACTACTGGTTTGATATAACTTAGTAAAAGGGAATGTGTATGCATGCAATCATAAGGGCTGTCGTGCTGTCAGATTCATGCTGGCAGCAAGGCTTCATACAGGATCTAGGAATCTCATAGGATAACTGGAGATGTGTGTACATGGTATTTCAGGCTTGTGCAGCACTAACAGGAAGGGACGACTGTGCAGGGCATGTGCAGGGAGGAATTGGTGGGCCCATCCAGCAGGAATGTGGGTGACACATAGGTAAATAGTGGTGTGCTCCCTTGCTGGGAGAATCTTGGGACCTAGACATCTTGGTAGTGTCAAATAATTAGAGTTTCTTCTCAGATAGGAACAAAAATGTTGAAACCTACAAAGAGCAAAATAATATGTGATATGAAAAATGGATGATGAAGCTGGGGGCTGATGGCTCACACCTGTAATCCTAGCTACTCAGGAAGCTGAGACTGAGGATTGTGGTACAAAGCCCTAGCACAAAATGTCTATGAGACTCTTATCTTCAAGAAACTACTCAGAAAAGGCAAGAAGGGCTGGTTGCCGGTGGCTCATGCCTGTAATTCTAGCTACTCAGTAGGCTCAGATCTGAGGATCGCAGTTCAAAGCCAGCGTGGGCAGGAAAGTCTGTGAGACTGTAATCTCCAATTAACAATCAGAAAACCGGAAGTGGCACTGTGACTCAAGCTCGCTTTGAGCTGAAGAACTCAGGGACAGTGCCCAGGCCCACAACTGACAAAAAGAAAAAAGAAAAGGCAGGAAGTGGCACTGGCTCAAGTGGTAGAGCACTAGCATTGAGAGAAAAGGCCCAAGGACAGCACTCAGGCCCTGAGTTCAAGCCTCAGCACCAGCAAAAATAAAAAGAATGATGAAATTCAGAACCTGTCTCTTAAGAGGTTTCAGATGAAAGAGAGAGAAGGAAAGATGAAACCTAGGATTCTGAAGAGGGCAGTGGGACTAGGCATGGTGGCACATACCTGTAATCCCAGAGAGACAGGAGAACCAAGAGTTCAAGGATGGTCTTGACAACATAGCAAAATCCTGGCCCTCCCTGGGTCCAGTTATCTGGAAGTGCCCTCCACTAGCTGCCACAACTCAGCTCTTCACAATGAAACTGTAAGGCAGTGATCTAGAGACTAGGTTGAGACCCTCCATTAAAAGCGCTCATCTGAGTGCCTCCTCTCCTACAGGAGATTGCATCCTACCTGATCACCTTTGAGAAGCATGATGAGTGGC